ATATAGCTGCCTTGGGAACGATCAATTGAAAGGTAGGTTCTTGCATGAAAAACTTTTTTATCTTTAAGATATCTTAACCATACTCGGCATTAAATATTTTCCCTGTAATTCCTTAATATGAGGGCATTAAATCTTCGGTGTGCCTTCTTTCTCGTTGGTGTTTTTTTATTCTTTCTTGTTTACGGCATTTTTCGGGCTCGTAAGATTTCATTTACTCATTCCGACGATCACGCTTGTGCTTCCCCCGTTTAGTCGGGCAATTAGGCAATGTCGTTAGCCCTGATCCGATCTGAACTCCTTCTGTCTGTCTTTCTCCCTGTCTGTCGGTCTGTTGCTCCGTGGTCGTCGATCCCATAAAACCAAGAGTACAACTTCAATAGCACAACAAGTCCGAGTGCAAGAGCACTCTAGAATGTTCGACTAGAAGATACCCTGTAAGCAGCTCTGACTTGCTGCTCTATTAGCCTGACTTTTGAAGAGGTTGAAGAACCTGCAATTATTTCCATTATTTTTATTTGATTTTTATGCTATTTTCAGGGCATTAACAAGACATTGAACTCTTTGAAAAAGTCTTGATAGCTTCATTTATGGATCTTTGGTTAAGACACGCCTACACTCACATCAATTAGCCTGGAACCTGGAATTAACCTCGAACCGTCGAATAGGACGCAACTCAGATCTAGTTCAATTCTTGTTTTTGGATAAACGAAGTGCTGTCAGAAGTCAGAGCAACCCATTCTGGGAAAGGGTATGAGTTATCTACGGCTAGCGCTCGCTTGATGAATTTGTCGTAGAGTTATTTCTACCAAGAAGTTTGGCTGTCGCATAAACAAGCCCGCCTACGCGCAACACGTGCAACAACAACAACAAGAAGAAGAAGAACAATAACAACAATAGCACGTTAGCTGCAAATCGAAGTGTCAGTCGGTGCAAACGCCTCATCCTCATCCTCAATCCCATGCCCATGCCCATGCCCATTCCCATTCTCGATCATGAGCCTCATGAGGCTGACGCTCCTTTTATGGCTGGCGCACATGTGTGCAACAGACGCAGCAGCAGCCAGCGGGGCAAGCGGCAACGGGGCAGGGGGCAAGGGGCAGGGGGCAGGGGGCAAGTGAACGATGAGACAAGAAACGCTAAAGCAAAGTGCATGCAAATGGGCCAAAACGCTCGACGCTCGGCCCGCGGCTGGGAAACTGAGGAAAATGCATTATACAAATTTCCAATTTGTCGAATAAGTGAACAGTTTTTCCGCCATCGGCATCGCAAGTGCATTTTGTTTATACTTTAATCTGTCCGAACGGGCCAGTTCGGCTTGTTGTTGCTTTTCATTTGTGCAACGGCAACATTTGCCATTAAATGCACTCTCAATGGCCGCTTAAGAATGCAGGCCCCAAAATATGTTTAAGCAAAAATAATCAAAGTCACTTTTGTTTAGACAAAATTTAACCAACGACAAGCGACAGCTTGAAATATTGCGCATACGCCACATGTGACCGCAACTAATTGACCTTAGTCCTGGCCCATCCGTAATAAATAGTTAGAGTAACTAAATCTTTTTATTAGTCAATGCTTCTGGCCAAAGGGGCGGCCTCTTGAAAGGCTTGTGCTCTCAAGTAGCTGCCGCTGACAATGTCATAAAAATAATAAAAAAAAAAAAGGACCGCTGCCTAAACAAATCCTTTAACGGCACTCTATATAAACAAATTAACAGGCAGCACAAAGACAGACAGACGTGCGGCTGGTTGAAGGCATCCTCTGGCAAACTAAAGTCATGCAACTGGCATGCCACATGCAGCGCAACCGTGCAACATGCCAGGCTACCTCGCACATTCCTAGCTAATAAGCATACAAATTCTAGAGAAGAGTAGAGCAGAGTTCGGAAAAGCAAGAAGAAAATGCTAGCTTCTACAATTTACACAAATTAATATATATATATTATATGGCCATTAAAATTGGGAAGGAAAGGAATATAATTGGCAGAAGAAAGCATCTTCAATGTCAAAAAGTATGTATAATCTGCGATCTTCTCGATCTTCACTTCGATCTCAAAAACTACAAGATCTAGACTCTTGAAATATTGAATATATATTCTTCTCTATGAATTCTCGCACGAGCTAAAAGTCTGTCTCAATATCTCAACTCATTAAGAAAATATGTTGGTATGCTGGCTCTCGTGTAGTAGACAGACTCAAATATTTATAGTTATGAAAAGTTTGCCCCATTTACCCGAAATAATTGTACATCCTTCAGCTCAAGTACATACCAACTTTTCTTAGAAGAGTGCATGCCTCATACATAGCATAAAACAAGTAAAAGGTTCCAGTCGGGAGCTCCCGACTAGGGGATACCCTGAACCCTCTTCATCCAACATCAAATGCATATGTATATTCTATTTTAGAAGCTATATGTCAAGTTTGGTGACTCTAGCTCTTAATATTTACCAAAATTGCCCAAAAAACAGGATATCGATTTTTATCGATTGCTTGGAAACGGAGTAAGTTGTCGCTTGTCGGAAACAAACTCGATCTGCGCAGGCACTAGGAGCACCTACTTCTAAAAATCTCTAGCTCTTATAGGTTCTGAGATCCTTGCGTTCCTACATACGGACAGACGGACAGACAGACAGACGGACAGACGGACATGGCCAGATCGACTCGGCTATTGGTGCTGATCAAGAATATATATACTATACATACTTTCGTTAGATCGGACTGTAAAGGCCGAATTTAATAAAGAATGCATATCACACACAAAGTGTGGAGCAAAGGGGAGAAGAAGCTCGTGTGGGTACTTATCCAAAAGCAGGAGTTAATTCTTTAAGGTACATCCTCTGATAATTAGATCGGACCATAAAGACCGAAGATCAACAAGAATGCATTTCCCAGACAAAGTGTGGGGCAAGGGAAGGAAGAAGGCAGCTTGTTGCTTAATTTAGGGCATCTGCTAGTCGGATAGCCTGATTAGTTTTGTGTTCTCATCGTTTCTGGAGCACTTCCTGTGCTGGCGCGAAAACTGAATTATGGCAACAGGGTCGGATCGGGCGTCCCGCAGCTATATATTTGGGCGCAGACGCCGCCACACTTATTGACATAAGTAATTACAAATGTCAATTGAATTTTAGTGTCCCAAATTTGTCAGCTCTTGGCGTGGGCTTTTAGCTAGAAAATTGCGGCCAGACATGAACGCGGAGAGATGGGCCAGAGATGTCCAAAGAGATTCAAAGATCGCGAGTTGTTTACACAGTTGCTCCACTTCGACAAATAGCGAGGGGTGACTAGGCGAAAGGGTTGCTGGGTGGAAAATTCGGAAAATTCGTTAGACAATTTGTAATTCGAGCCAAGTTGTTGCCGCCCAGCCTAGCCAGACCCAAAGGGCTGCCGATCATACAATTGTTGTCATTCGTTTTGGACGACTTTGTCGCACATTTTGTTCACATTTGTTTGTTTGTTTACAAACATGGACCACTTGAGCCGTGTCCTTGTTGTCGTCGGCCGCCAGCTGTGCGCCTAAGGACCTCGGCATGTCCTGTCCTGGTCTGCCCGCCCGCCGATCTGTGCCAAAAATCCAGACATTTGTGGGTCAGAGACTGTGCGCCCCTGTCTGGGCCTGACACATTGAAGCACTTCTATGCCGACATTGAGTGCCCGTCCTCATCATCATCATCATCATTTATAATCTTATATACATATATATTTTTTGCAAGATCCAGCCCACACGCATGGCCCACTTCAGCGGAACGCATCTTGAGGCACTTTCTGCTCGATCTGCCTGACATTTGTGAAGTTGAGTTTTGAAAAGCCAAAACGTAGCTCAATTGGGAAATGAGGTCATGCTATAAGAAACCAGTTTAGGTTAAATGATTGTGATGCACATCAATTTAATTAATTTATGCATTTTTTATACCCTGAACCCATTAAAAATGGGTAAAAAGGGTAAATTGTACTTGTGCAAAATCCAAATGTATGTAACAAGCAGAAGGAAGCATCTCCGACCCCATAAAGTATATATATTCTTGATCAGCATCAATAGCCGAGTCGATCTAGCCATGTCCGTCCGACCGTCTGTCCGTCTGTCCGTATGTATGAACGCAAGGATCTCAAAACCTATAAGAGCTAGAGACTAGAGAGAAATTTTAGATGTAGGTGCTCCTAGTGCCTGAGCAGATCGAGTTTGTTTCCGATAATCAATAGCTTACTCCGTTTCCAAGCAATCGATAAAAATCGATATCCTGTTTTTTGGGCAATTTTGGTAAATATTAAGAGCTAGAGTCACCAAACTTGACATATAGCTTTTAAAATAGAATATATATATGCATTTGATGTTGGAAGAAGAGGGTTCAGGGTATCCCCTAGTCGGGAGCTCCCGACTGGAACCTCTTACTTGTTTATACAAAAATTTTGTGTGACTTTTATCTTTCTGAGTAACTGTTAATAATTTGCTGATAACCAAAAATGTTATATTACAATAAAGAGTTTAAAGCTAATTGAATCTAAAAAGATTGTCAAAATGCGACCAAGGTCAAAAGTTCGTAACCCCACACAAAATGTCTTATTTTAAGAAATTCTTTTTTTAACCTAAAATTCAAATATCAAACAAATGTATGTTGTATTGGATATCTAGAACTTGATTAATTGAAGTGAGATCAATTTAATTTATTTGATTTCTTTGAGTAAAGTTTCAAGAGAAAGTACAAATTTAAGTTTTCTTTGTTTTAAATCAAGCAAAAGAAATGTTCAGTCTCTAATCAAGAATTAAATTACTTGAAGTAATATTTAGAAATTAAAGTTAAATAAAAATCACCTTGAAGTTGCGTTTAATTATTTTATTTATTTAAGTAAAGAGTTTAACATAGATATATTTACATATATAACTAAAACTTAAAGCTACTAAAGCTATCAGCCAGAGACTTGCTCCAACTTTCTTCGCCTCCCAATCTCACCCTCTCTTTCTCTCCCTCCCTCTCTCTCAACTGAGCCAGCCTTTCTGGGCTATACGTAAGGATCGATGGCTATCACAAAGGCCAAAGTGTGGCCCCCAGAATATGTTCGGCATCTAATCGATTTCCACATTCTCCTCGCAATCCTCCGCCGCGGAATGATTGCTCTCCGCGCCGCTCTCCAGGCACATGACCTGAGCCTGACTGGGACTGGGGCAGGGACTGCGTTGATTGCGCGCCGGCGACGAGGAGGCCGAGGAGCCGGTCACAAAGCTGGCGGAGAGCGCGCTCTGTTGGCTGGGCGGCGGTATGGGCTGCGGCACCTTTGGATGCGGATAGAAGTACGGGAAATGGACCTGCGGCAGCGGTAAACCGCCGTAGGCCAGCTGCAGCTGATGCCTGTAGATGTTGAGCAGCGCCGGATCCAGGCCGTGCGGATAAGCACCGGCGACGGCGGCTGCTCCGCCGGGCGTCATATGAGCGTAGGCGGTGCTGCCATCCTCACGGACGAGCACCTGGACGGGCACACGTTTCGTGGCGCTGAGCAGCGCCGCCTCGTGCTGCTGGATTTGCTTGCGCTTGGTCTTATAGCGCCGATTCTGGAACCAGATCTTCACCTGCGTCTCCGTCAGACGCAGCGTTTTGGCCATCTCGCTGCGCTCCGGGCCGGACAGATAACGCTGCTGGGCAAAGCGTCGCTCCAACTCAAAAACCTGAGCGTGGCTGAAGGCGGCACGCGAACGCTTCTTGCGGCTGAGCGGGCCCCCATTGAGGCCATCCTCGTGGCAAAGCGGCGAGCCACCACCACGCCCATAGCCGCCCGCATGGCAGGAGGCGGGCGAGCTGCTCAAAGGCGGCGGCGAATCGCAGTCTGTATAAAAGAAAATTGCCCAAAAGTTAGCAAAAAGCACAACAGGCGTGCTAATGGAGTGCATTAGGCCGGCTGCCATTAGTTCGGATTCGTACTTACCGGAGTCGTTGCTGGTGCAGCGTCGCATGTCTAGCGGAACGGCTGCGGCGGACAACGCGGCGCCAAAGTAGCCCAATTTGCGCTGCACGTAATCGACGGGCGCGCCGGAAGAGGCGGCACAGTTGGAGTTGGAGCCGGAATTGGCCATTTGCTGATTGTTGTTATCCAGCGCCGCGGCGGCGGCATAATAACGCAAATAGCTCGCCTGCTGGCCCGTCTGCTCCAGCTTGTAGACACTGAGATCGCGACAGCACGGCTCCACATCGCCGCCGTGCTCCGTTTCCGCGTCCGTATCCGCGCGGGCGGCGGCCGCGGCGGGCGGCTTATTGCGCGTCAGTATGTCATTGATGGAGAAGGGCGTGGTCAGGCTTTTGCTTAAGGCCGCAATCGAGGCGCCGGCACTCGCACTTTCCATATTTAACATCCTGTCGAAATGTATTTGATTATTTTCTAAGATTAATTTTTGCTTCCGCGCGTCTCAACGTTTGACTCACGAATGGTCTCTGCGGACGTGCTCCGTGCGCTCTTTAAATAAACGCTGACCAGCCGATCCCGGACCCGGAGAGAATCACTCACGGAGTGCGCCGCATATGGCACTCAAGTGGCTGCTCCGGCTGCTGCTCTTGGATGCTCTTGGTGGTGGATTTTTTTACGGCGTCGACTTTGATTGGCCGCAGGCAAACTGAGCCGCACACTCATCTCTCTCTGTGTGTGTGTGTGCGTGTGTAAACAAAAATTAACTTTAAATTGGAATATATATTCGTATAGATATTCTCATTTGTGCATTTGTTTAAAACTCTCCAGTGTGCGTTATTTTTGGAAGTGCACGCATCCTGTTTATTGTTTAGAAATGTGTGTTAACTATTGTGCAATCCATTTGGGCTGGGATTAGACACTCACACACACACACACACCAACACTTGGGTACAGTCAGAGCTGCTCTTCATTTGTTTGTATCCCCCATTTGTTTGGTTTGGAAATTAGGCCGAAAATTCTTGATTTACCAAAACACATGCACATACTTCCAAGTTGAAGTCAATTTAATGGTTCTCTATCAATTTCAAGCACATCATTTGGAGCAGAAACAATTCTTTTGGTACCCTTTTATTTTCCGAACTCATTGGAAATAGATATTTTGATCAGCTTATCATATGTATAGATTATAGAGGTTTATATATGTAGATTAATTTCCATATAAGATGATAATATACATACATATAATATATGTTTGTAAATATGTATATATATATATAACATATAAAGACATGCAATAATTGATATTTTGATATAGTTTAGTTATGTTTGAGAATGACTTGAAATTAAATTTAGATCATTTTTTTGAGTAAGTTTATTTGAGTTTAATCTTTTTTCAGCGCCATTTCGAAATATTAATATAATTTTATTCAATATTTATTGTGTTTTACATTAGTAAGTTTTTATTGTTTCTATAGTACCTATTTGCAGCCTTTAAGCCAGTTCCAAAGTGCCAAAAGGCAAGAACAAAATTTACTAGCAATAATAGAAATGCTAGAAACTTGTTGAAATGTCAAGTTTTTAACTAACAGCCTATTAGCTAACAATTATTAACATTTTCAAGCTCATTTTATAGAGCTTCATAATCTAGCAATGCGTATGTATTGTAAAATCGCATTTTGAGCACTTTTTCAGCGCCAAAGTCTGCCATTGGCCGAACGCGCCATGCACAAAGGCCTACCATTGGTTGGAGCGGCAAAATGGCTGCGCGCTCGCAGCGCAGCCTTGCCAGATTGAGTGAGTTGCTGAGGCAGAATGAGCGAACGAAAGAGTGTGTGAGAGAGAGAGAGAGGGAGAGAGGGAGAGGCAAGCATTTGCTCTTGCTGGTTCTCCGCTACACTTCACACCTTCGGGCTATAATCTTTTTATTGCCAATTGAATGACTCTTAATGCCAAAGGCGTCGCAGTCAGAGTCAGCGCCGCGCCGCCTGCTTGCAACAAAAGGAAGCAGCGCGAGCTTCACTTGTACCGTTATATATTGTTGTTGCGATTATTTGTTGCGGTCAGCATTGAGTAGGTAAAGTAACCAATTTCCAAGTGCGCTCAAAGTGTTGCAGCAGGAATCGAGGGGGGGAGAGGAAGTGTGCTCGTTATATGTTTTCAATTGAATGCATTTGAATAATACTCGAGTAATTAGTATAATGATGCTTGCCACGCGTTCGTCCGCCTTTGTCCCAATTTTTGATTGTGACTGCGCTGATGCGATTATCTCCAAATAGTTTATTGAGACGCCAAACAGGTATTGAATTACATTGCGACGAATGATGAATAGACATTTTCAATTAACTGGCGTCCTTGTTTGAGCTGAGCACTCGCCACCCTGTTGGACTCAACTTTTGTTGTTTTTGTGGTATTAAATTCGCTTTAATGGTTTATCAAAGAGCACTTCAATTGTTTGCTTTGCTTTGCATTAGCATTCATAGTCTTTTTGTTAGTGTATTCAGCCAGCCAGTGTTATGATATCTGATCCATATTGCTTTCTGCTTTCGTCTTGTGATTGATTCTGGCAAGTGTTCCTTGTCGTGTTTGTGTCAGGCACACAAATCGAACTACATTGATTGACTTATTGATTATATTATATTTATATCTTGCATTTAGTTTATTTAAAGCGCACTTAAACGGAAAAACTTTTTGTGGCTGATTTGTAAGTCTATTACAATAATTGAAGGTCGCTTAAGTTTATTGTTTAACAGAGGAAATATTATATTTTATTATGTTCCGTTTTTTTGAATATTTATATTTCGATTGGCTAGTTTGCACTGCTTGCATCCACACTACACTGCTTATGCGAATCCACAACTAATTTCGACTGCTTTGCAGTATGCGTATTGCACTGCTTGTGTCCTGCTTAGTAGCTAAGCAGTACACTAGAACTAACCGCGCTCCGTTAGAATTCAAAAAGTAGAATTCATATGAGAATTTTTAAAATGTTTAAATCATAATGTTACACGTAATGTATATAAAATTCGTAAAACTACGATTAAAATAGACTAAATGGTTTGGCCTCTAAATCTGTTTGACAACTTTATTCTTAGTCAAAATTATTGCAAAATCGGTTCCTTCAAATATCATATTATAGGCATATAATTTCCCACCCCCATAACTCGGTCAAATATTAACCGATTTCTTTAAGTTTTGGTTCAATATTCATTCAAATTCATTCGTTCATTTGAATAAAGGAACAATTAACAAATTAATTTGTTTATTTAAAGAATGAATAATGAACATAGACATGTGTTCATTTGAATAATTCATTCAACTTAACTGGAACTCAACTCTATATAGGAGACACAGGTTTCGGGAATACAATAGATAGAAGGTGAAAGCTGAAAAAATTGGCTAACATTCGTATAGTTCGAACCCTTTTCTAATATATATGAAAGTACTCTTAGCCGTAAGCTCAGATCGCGGCATGGAAGTTAATATAAATTCCATATAGAATTTCAATTTCCTTTCAGAATTTGTTTACAGGTGCCTGAAGTGCAATAGGATATTGCCAGCGGAAGGAAATCAAACGAGTTGCTCCATCGAAACCGAAATCAATGCCCGCTCAGCTTATTGTGGGGCAGGGTGGGGAGAATTTGGATTCGAGAGCCACTCGAGAGCGGCTTTTCCACAGGCCATAAATCAAATGCTTTTGAACGACAAACATCTACAGTTTCGTATGCAATTACTCAATTAATTTGAATATAATTGTCACAATATTCCACTTGAAAAGCCGCACAAAACTGTTGGACATAAAACAGAAACATTTAACCAAATGCCATAAATATATATTAAGTCGAGGCTGGAAGGAAATGTGTATGTGTATGTAAAATGAGCTCGCAATTTTTATGGCCACATCAAATGGAAATGAAACAACAACAAACAGCACGGAAAACTCAATGGATGCCTTTGCTGCTTCTTCTTCTCATACAGCTCTTTACTTTTTGTATTTTTTGATAAAATGTCAAAGTCTTCAGTTGGGGGCGGGGCCTTGCTAGGCGCAGCAATCCACTTGACAGCTCCGGCTGGGAGCGAAGATTAAAGACAAAGACGCGCAATGACAGCAAAAGGCGGAAAACGGCGGAAAATCTATTGGAAATGGGAAATTACGCAATGCGAATGCGGGCGGCAAAGGGAACAAGAAAGAAAGGCGCGGAAGTCTAAAACGCATACACTCAGCGAAAATAAACATGAATGTGGAAACTTGTTTTTTCGTGAAGTGTATTTAGTTTGTTATACCCTAAACCCATTAAAAATGGGTATACGCAAATGTATGTAACAGGCAGAAGGAAGCATCTCCGACCCCATAAAGTATATATATTCTTGATCAGCATGAATAGCCTAGTCGATCTAGCCATGTCCGTCTGTCTGTCCGTCTGTCCGTATGTATGAACGCAAGGATCTCAGAATCTATAAAAGCTAGAGACTTAGATGTAGGTGTTCCTAGCTCCCGCGCAGATCGAGTTTGTTTCCGATAATCGATAACTTGATCCGTTTCCAAGCAATCGATAAAAATCGATATCGATATCCTGTTTTTTTGGGCAATTTTGGTAAATAATAAGATCTAGAGTCGCCAAAGTTGACATATAGCTTCTAAAATAGAATATATACATATATGCATTTGATGTTGGAAGAAGAGGGTTTAGGGTATCCCCTAGTCGGGAGCTCCCGACTAGAACCTCTTACTTGTTTTGTATTGTGTTTTAATTGCATATTGTTTATTTATTGTTGGTTAATAAATCTTAATTTGCTTACCTAACTCTCACTTTGGCGGCTTCTCGCGTCGCATTTTTCATTGAGGAAATGCAAATGAAAGCGGTGAAAGCAGCGCCAGAGCAGGGCAAAGGGAAAAGAGGGGATGAAGGGGGAAGGGGGGCACAGCTGGGAGCGCGGATTGAGGCGTCTTTGATCCTTTGACGCAACATGAATTAAACGGCGCTACAAGCCGATCCTCGCATCAGTTGCTTATCGCTGTGCAGCCCCCGATGCGATCCTCAATTGTGATATATGGGAAAATGACAAATTTTCCACTTGACAATTTTCCCGGCCTCGGTCTAGACTCCAGACAGCGCAGCACACGTCGCCGCAACATTGCCGCCGACATTGTAAGACGAAACCCAAATGTATTCAGCGTTATTTCTGGCTCGATCCATTTTGCTAAAACGTATTCCCTTTTCTTGTTTTTTCCCTGGTCAGTGTGGTCCATTAGGCAACATTTAAAGACACTTGACTGGGATGGGATGCAGCAGCATGTCCTTTGGGGCGTTTTGTTTGCCACTGTGCGCAGAACGCCTCGAAGGACTCTCTTTCTGTCTCTAGATTGCTGGGATCTCTTTTGCCGTCGCTTCTTTTCCATATGTACATTTTTGGGCTAAAAGGTTCGGCATAACAAGAGTTGTGGAAGTAAGAATTTCGAGTGCTTTAGTCGGCTGAGCTCGCCTGAGAAATGTCCCAAGTCCAGGGCCGAGCTGGCCCACAATATAGAAAATTTGTTCTTGAATAACTTGGGTGCCTATTCTCAGATATTTGTAAAATTTGCAACTCATAAATATGGCAGCTAAATATGTGTTAATACCAATGCACCGTACAATACTTAAAAGTATGCCGTTTTTACAATATTGGTGGGAAACAGAGGAAGATATTCAAAAAGTGAAACATTCTGAAGCTGTGTAGACTATAAAAAAACCCAAATACCATATTTCGTGTCTCTAGCTCCTAAAACTTTCGAAAAAACGGGAACTGGATATTGATTTTTATCGATTTCTGGAAAACGGGCAAGCTTATCGATGATTTGAATTAAGTTTGAGCTGCGTGCTTAATAGACGAAGTTAAGTTCAAAATTTTAAGGCTCTAGCTCTAATAAACTCTGAGATCAAGCGGGATGAGCTTAAGAAGGGACGTCAAACAGACGGATGAATCGAAAGACGGATATTGCTAATGTGGGGAAAAGTAACCCAATTCCATTAAGCACTAACTGCAAATTATACGAATTATGTTAATAGTATATTTATTTTATATCTTACTTCATATTACTTCGTGGAACCATCCTATGCCCCATCTCGTAGCCTGTTATATAGTTTATCTAAGCTCGCGCGTGATGGCCTCTGATTGACATTTAACCCAAGACAGGGCACAACCCCAATCCAAGCCAAAAGTTCAGGCTGTCAAAAATGCTGCACGTCAAAAACCAAAATACGAGCAGAAAGTGTGATCAGCTGCACTTGCCCCGTTCCCATTCCCGTTCCCGTTCCCATTCCGGTTGCGGTTGCGGCCTCTGTGGCATGTGTTTGTGCAGTAATTGATATGCCACTCCAGCGGGGCAACCACTGCACCACCAGGAAGGGGTAGAGTGGGGCAGCAGAGGCAACTTTGGCCCCACACGCCATGAAATATTAGCCCTGCCTGTCATAAATGTCGAGTTCCAGTTCGAGTTCGAGTTCGGCTGCATTTGTATCTGTATCTGTATCTGCATTTGTATCTGTATCTGTTGGAAAACATTTTACAGTTGCATTGCATTGCCACTTAAACGTTCCATAAAAGCAACCTTTGTAATGTCTGTGTTGCCGCCAATGCCCCACACCCCCCCCCCCCTCTCTCTCTCTCCCCGTCCCGTATCCCAGCGTTCTCCTACCTCCTGCCTCAACCCTTCGCTGGCATGCGAATAGCAAAAGGAAAAACATTTTCGTTTTCGTATTGAATTGAAAAAAACGGAAATATTCTTGGTGTTTTCCTCATATTTATTCATAAAACTGATCGTTTCGTTTTGATAAAATTGATTTATGCGCCGATCGACAACAATTATACGCAGATGCGGTGCCTAATGGATCCGTGCCTGACTAACCGAGTACTCCGATGCTCAAAATATACACAAATACAAAAATATATATATATATGCACACATAAAGTCGACAAATCGAAAAGGGAAGCGAATGAAATATCGTAGTCCTCCAGAATTGAAATTGAGCTCAGCACAAATACCAATTGATCCTCTCTAATTGATCCTTTCAAATCAAAGATAAAAAGCTGAAGGAAAATCTGTTTTATTTTTTAAATACATTTTAAATTTTATAAAATTCCCAATTGAAATTTGAACAAACTTCAAATAAACACCACAATCTTGCTAAAAGTTTGTGTATTCTATTTCTGGTTTATCCTCCAGTTAAAATATACCATGTACCTTTTCTCCCCTTACTCAGTTTAGAAAAGACCTGGAATCTTAAAAATTGTCTGTGAGTGTTTAAATAGATAGAAAATGCAAAACTAACAAAAACTTTGTGTATTCCGTTTCTGGTTTATCCTCCAGTTAAAATATACCATATACTTTTTCCCCTTACTCAGTTTAGAAAAGACTTGGAATCTTAAAAGTTGATTGTGAGTGTTTAAATTGGTAGAAAATGCAAAACTAACAAATATTCTGAGGCTGTCAATTGTTGACAGTTTTTGACAATTTTTGACAATTTTTGCCTTGCAAAGTGCCATTCTGACATTGACATTTTTTTTGGAAATTTTTTTGTGTTATATTTTTAAAGATATTTTTACCATGCTCAGCAACTTTACTATTCTTAGGGTATTTTATAGGGTATTTTAACTTCGGTATGCCGAAACAAGACTTTCATTCTTATTTTACATTAAGAAAACTCAAGTCTTTATCAGTCCAAGTTGGTTTTAATTTATATTAAATTATTTATATAATTTTTTTATAATTTTAAGAAAATATCAAAATGGTTTTTAAGAAATTCCATGCTCCCCATTTCCCTGATCCCCTACTGATCCCCCCGCTGTCCCCTTAGAGCACCTTCAAATTGATCACACGTTAAATTTCGTTTGGCTTAAACTTTATTTATTGTCCAAAATAAGTAGTATATACTATATACAACAAGGTACTAGAGTTATGAGGCATTTGCATTGGCTAAGAAAACATTTGATCGACATAAATTGAAATAAGTTAGAAATTTTTAATAATTGCCCGGGCTATTGCAACTGGAGCTGGAGATGATGTCCCTGCTGCTGCTGCTGCTGCGTGGCGCTGGGCGGCCACATCATGTGGTTGGGCAGCGGGGGTGGCGGGGGCAGCGCGGTTGTGGACGCGGATGTGGACGCGGACGTGGGCGACTGGGGCTTCAGCTTGAGGTGCTTGGTGAAGGCGTCGCCGTCGATGTCGCCGCGCTTCGATTTGTAGCGACGATTCTGGAACCAGATCTTCACCTGTGTCGCCGACAGATTCAGCTTCTGGGCGATGATTTCACGCTCCGCGCCCGTTAGATACTTCTTCAGCCGGAAGCGGCATTCCAGCTCGAGGACCTGCGCCTGGGAGAACAGGACACGGGGCTTGCGTTTCATGCGCGGCTTTCCACAAACATTATTATTATTGTTGTTGTTGTTGTTGCCGCTGCTGTTCTTGCGCAACTCGGAGCGGGAGGAGGTCACCTGGCTGTCCTCTGCAAAGGTTAAAGGTAAGAAAGAAAGTGTTAAGACAGCAACTAAGAGTGTGTACGACTGCAAGTTACCCTCTGTCACATATACCCTATAAATTATATTGCATTATATATTTCCTCCTCTTACTTTCTTAAATAGAATCAAAATGAATCCTCAGGCTGACCATCCCTATTTATCGATATTGTAAAGTTATCGGTAGTTATCGATAAATTGAAGTAAACAGGGGCGAACCAAAATGCTAGACTAATTTATCGATCATTATTGCTGTTCGATTGAGCTACGAAATGGCGAGTTTACCGATATAGTTATCGATAGTGAAATAAACGTTACAGAGACAAATATATAATCTGCGAGTATCTTCAATATTGATCGATTTAGAACACACAGATCATCAATATTGATAGACTCTGGATACCGAATTATGGCTAAATTAAAGTAAACTGTCTCTATAGCGAATCGAGTTATCGATATATTAAACTAAGCTTGCACACATCTATCGATTTCTGGTAAATATGGGAATTATCGATCATGGGAATTAAATAAGTTTGAGCTTTATGGAAGAGAACTGAAACCTCGGCTGATCACTAAAATCGATCGATTTTAGATATCGGATTATCGATAAATTGAAGTTAGACTGAGCAGATCATCTTAAGGGAACACAAAACCCAAGCTGATCGTTAAAATATATCGATTTTGGGTATCAAGTTATCGATATATCAAAATTAGTTTGAGCTATTTAGAAGCGAACAAAAAACCTTGAATGCCCAACAAATATTTATCGATAAGAAGGGAAGCTATCGATAAATTTAAATGAATTCAAGGCGCATAAATTCGAATTCTCTCGCTCTTATCTTATCTACCTCCGCTATACAGGTGAATAGACGCTGGTTCCACTCAACTGTCAGCTTCCGCCTTTTCCTAATACCCTACACTTATGCGTCATCAATGAGATTACAGGATATTTACTTACTTCGCTTGGGGCACTCCGTCGTCGCCTGTCCGTTGATGCCCCTCGGCTCGAGCAGCCGCTGCGCGATGCCATTGCCATTCCCATGACCATTGGCCAGCTTGGCGTGGACGGGAGCATGCGCCTCCACATGCTCCGTGGAGCTGTTCAGATCGAGTGTCGGCGACGGCGTCACATACGGCGTGGGTATATATTCGCTCTTAATGCTTGCGGGCAGCGACGGCACGCTGGAGCTGGCATAGACATCCGGCGTCGTGTTGTAGTTGTAGTTGTAGCCTCCCTGATATCCACCAGCTGTGGGCGTGGCATAGAACTGAGAGGCACCAACATTGTACGCCGGCTGGTAGCTCTGATGGGGATGCGGGTGGGCGTGTGGATGGGGATGGGCGTGCTGCAGCATGTGCGTGGGCATGCCATAATCCTGGTGATAGCTCGCATACAGCTGAGGATGACCATGTGGCGGCGGTGGCAGCAGCGGCGACAGCGAGGATCCGGCCAAGGCATCCTCCTCGACATGCTGCTGCTGCTGTTGCTGCTGCTGCTGCTGCTGCTGGAGCTGTAGCTGGTGCTGAGCGAGCTGCTGCTGCTGCTCGAGCGGCTGCTGTTGGTAGTCGGCGGCGCCATAGAGCGCCGAGGCGGCCGCGGCGCTGAGAGAGAGGAAAAGTGAAGAGAAGAAGGACAAAAAGTGGTTCGATTAGTTGGCCAGCACATGTTGCATCATGGTGGGAAAAATCTGTAGGACAATTGGTGACATCATTTCATGCCTCATCAGCATTAAGAGGACGCCACAGGCGCATGTCCGTAACGGAAGGGAAGCGGAAGGGAAGGGCAGGGCAGGGACACACATGCGAAACACATATGTTGGCCAGGCACAAGCTCAACGGCAGGACGCAAGTCCCGACCGTCCGGCCGACCGCCCGCCGGACTGACCGCCCGCCGGACCGCCTGACTGCCTGACCTCGTCTCCGACTTTGTTTTTCTTATTGTTAACACTTTGTCTGCCTGCGCCTGCGTCTGCGCCTGCGTCTGCATCTTGTCTTTGTGCTTGTCTCCTGCCTCTTGTATAAATAACGATGATTTGTCCTTTCGTCCTATTTGCAATTCATGCTGTTCATGTGTTTTTATAGGATTTCTTCTGCTTAGCTATAGTCTGCCTCTCCCTTTCTCTGCCTCTCCCAGCCTATCCCTCTCTCTCTCTTTAACATAATATTATTATTTCGTGGAAAATTGGTAGAAATTAATTTCCTATGGAGCCTTATTAAAAATAAATAAAATAAGACACACACAAAATAGCTGTCCAAGACGAAGATTTGAGCCCAGAAAGGTTGCTCCAGACAGGTAGTTTTGCTCGAAACAAATGTTTATACAAAGTATGGACTTGGCCAATGTTGAGTTTCCTATTTAGCCCAAAACTAAAAAACTGCGAGAGACTTAAAAGAAATGGCTAAGAAAAGCTTTTGCTTTTCCTAACACGAACCGAGCAATATTTATAAGTTACTTTCTTTAAAAGAAAATCCCGGAAACTCGCTTAAACGTAATCTTTTTCAGGTTCGAACCAAGTTTTACAATCTCTTTTGGGCCAATCCTTAAACTGAAATCGTTTGCCAAGAAAACAAACTTAACCAAAGCTAATAAAATTGTTTGGACATTTGGAAAAATAATTTTTTTAGTCAATAGATTTTCTCGGAAGAACTATAATTGTTGTTGCTTTCTGACATCCCTATAAGATGGTCTTAAAGGACTCAGTTCCTAGAAGAATGGGCCATTTTTATCCTATAATTCATTAGGATAATGAATTATAATTCATTCAAGCTTAGTATCAAAAATTTGAATTACTTTTCTAAAACTCTTTATAATCATAACAAAGAGAAATTGGGCGAAAGGATAAGAACCAAGGTTTGAGCCAAGGCCTGCGTTGGGAGAAAAGCGGGTTTGAACCATTAAACAAACGAGAATTTTTTTGTATGGAATTTGCGAAAAGGTAAAGGGAACTCTTTTGATATTGGAAATAATTATTATTAATTATAAAAAAAAAGTCAAAAATCGAGGCGGAATGTGGAAAAAGAACTAGAATCAACGACAATTTAATGGCTGGATATTATAATATATAATGTATATTAATCGAAAATCTATAGGAAAAACTTGCTCTAGTCTTTCATGGCACGCTCTGGTAGAGTCTTACCTCTCGAGATGCCCGTAGGCGCCGTCGTATGCCTCCGTTTGATTGACCATATTGAGTATATCCTTGACCGAGAAGGGGGTTGTGTTGAGGGCATCCGCATTGGTCAGGCTGCCGGGACTCGGCGTTTGGTTGTAGTCATAGTAGCCCGCGGATTGGGCCTGATGCTGATGATGTTGCAGCATATCTTTTAGTTAAATTTGTTTTTTTTTTTTGTTTTTTTATTATTTGTATTTGTATTTGTTGTTGTTTGGCTTGGCCACAATTCAAATCACTTGTGCGCTCGAGAGGCACTTTAAATTAATATAAATACAACAATTTGCCAAAATGCACTTGACTCCCCGAACGACACTTGACGGCGACAACACGATTATGGCTGGGCGGGGGTGGGGGTGTTTGGGGGGGTGTGTGTGTGTGTGTAGCGCACCCCTTGTGCAATCGTATTGGATATATTTTGGGTGAAAAGTTAAACGATGCGCCGTTCCGCTGCGCACTCGAGCGTGTCCTCAATTTGTCAGCGCGTTTTTCGTACTGAATGAAAATTGAATCTTTTCAGGCGCTGGCCAAACACCCGCACACACACACACACACACACGCACTCACACTTAAGCGTAGCTGCATGCGGCTACGCTGTTCGCTTAAGAAAATGGCGGCCCAGCAGCCAATCACAGCGCAGCACAGGCAAGGCAGCTGACTGCCTCAGTTCGTCTGTGTGTGCGTGTGTGCGTGTGTGCATGTGCATTTATCTTGCCTGTTGTCGTTGTTGCTTTTGTTTGTTCGCAGCCTCTTCATGCAGATTTAATTTCGCTTCTTGAGCTTAAGTATGTGTATTTATTACTACAAAGTCCTTAAGTTGTTTTTTTTTTTTTCTACCCAATTGCCATATATACCATAGAATATACCCTGTTAATTGGCACTTTTTAATCGCTGATCCGATTTCAAGTGGGGCTCAAGTGCAGATTTTCGCACACTTGACGGCACCCTCATGTTTTTCTCAGTAAACAAATCGTGCACTGTGCGGCGATATAAATAAAAATATAGATATTTAAAATAAACAAAGGTGTGGAGAGGCTTCATTACATTATTCACATATTTTTACTATTATTGCCAATAGTATAGAATTATATAACATGGAAAAATATCTACTCCGACGATCGGCAATTCTATTCTATTTATCTTCTATTCTTCTATTTTTGAAGCTAACTAACTATAACATAGTTTCTATGAAAAATATGCCTAGCAAAGATGAAGTCTATATTTTCTAACTAGAAGAATAAAAAGTGAACAAAACTCAGTTAGCCGTGATTTTGGCAATCGATTAAAATCATTATTTTATATTCTCCACTTGGCTATAAAAACAATTTAAAATTATTCAAATCAATCAAATTTAATTTTGAATTTAAACTATCTTTTAACAGTTGAACGTAATTTTTGAATTTTAATCGCTCGTTTGCCAACACACTTAGGTTCATCGTATGCGATATGCCACAGTGCTGGCACAAAAAAGCATCGTACATATCGGTATTGCTACAGATACACACATCGATACATCGATTACATATCAGCATACCTACCCAGTATAAAAGTCTGGCTCATCCCTAGCTAGTATACATTTATTTCGTTGTACTCGTTGAAAAAGTTGGACGCAACTGCGCGTCATCAGCGCAGGAAAAGTAATTATTTTAAATTTGTGCAGCATATAAGTAATTCATTATAGAAATTTATTCAAATAGGTAAGTTGTGCGCATTTTCAAACAGTTTTTGTTTAAACTGGGTGTTTTTAAAGCATATTAAGGTGCACAGTTTAAGCAGCCCCACGGCATGCGTGAAAAAATTTCCCAGTTTTTTTTTTTGCTTCTAATTTTTGTATGCGTCTGCATTTTTGATGTGCCTTGACATTTGTAAACAAATGGCAGTGCTCGCATTAGGTTTACCTGTAAATATAATTGGAGAAAATCAAATTTATTTTTTGCAATTGTCGATTTTTCTGCCACAGCACACACATACACAGCAGATACAGAAAATTCTATTGATTTCTACGCTCGTCCAAGATGGCGGACGACGAGCAATTCAGTTTGTGCTGGAACAATTTCAACACAAATCTGTCCGCTGGCTTCCACGAGTCGCTATGCCGTGGAGACCTGGTGGACGTATCGCTGGCCGCGGAGGGGCAAATCGTGAAGGCGCACCGTTTGGTGTTGTCTGTCTGCTCGCCCTTTTTCCGCAAAATGTTTACGCAAATGCCATCGAATACCCACGCCATCGGTAAGTAGTGTAAAACAAGAAGAAGAAAAACTCGCAAAGCGAACAAAGATTCATATACAATTGTTTTACTTTACAGTGTTTTTAAACAATGTTAGCCATTCGGCTTTGAAGGACCTGATTCAGTTTATGTATTGCGGCGAGGTTAACGTTAAGCAGGACGCACTGCCGGCCTTCATAAGCACAGCGGAGTCGCTGCAAATAAAGGGGCTGACAGACGTAAGTACAAAATACAAACATATGCACATACATACACACATGTAACTTTGTCAAACCGAGAAGAGAACACACCAAGCGCCTTTCGCGCGCGCAATACATACAAAGCTCACGTACACACACACACACGTGCACGCACCACAGATTTGTCTGTATAAGAGCTGGTTTGACTGTACCCAAGCAACAGAGAAATTACTCGAATTGCACGCTGCGCACAAAACGTGTGCGTCCGATAGAGCTAGCACGAGTATGCGCTGTTGTATAGTGTAGCTGTTCCGTTCTCTTTGCCACTTTTATGGCAACAGCAGTGCGCGCGCTTTGGTGGTGTTTTTATACACTTACAGAGGGCATTGTTATGTTGAAATTGTGTATGTGACACCTAATAGGAGACATTTGATTTCACAAGTAATATGAATATTTTTGATCAGAAAAAAATGCTAGAATGTTTTTTTGTTTTTGCCCATGTGCATTTGTTGTGAAACAGTATTTGTGTGGATAACTTTTATAAGGTATTCAAAGCAAACTCGAAATATATAATTACTGTCGGAATTTCATATAATAATTCATATGATAACTCCGTATCATACAGCTTCCATTCGAAACTTTGTTTGTTCCGCACATCTGCCACAAGTCTGAAAGGGTATTTAATCTGCGGCACTCAAAAGCAGTGTTGCCAACTGTCGTTTAAAAAGTAGCTAAAAAGCAATGCTATAAAAATATATGTGTATATATAATTACCTACCAGAGCATAAATTTGCTATAACCAGGCACCTCAACGCCAATAAATAAATTAATTTTAAACTATTTTTGGTTGACAATATTGCAAAATGAAGCCTGAACATATCTTAATTAGCTAACTCAAACAAATAAATAATTAATTTAATTAAATTACAGAATGATCCTGCGCCGCAGCCGCCACAGGAGCCCACGCCCCCACCAGCCGCACCTCATGTACAACAACAGCAACAACAACAAGTCCCCGCCCAGCGTGTACAACGTCAACAGCCTCGCGCCTCGGCGCGATACAAAATCGAGACCGTTGACGATGTGCTGGGTGATGAGAAGGGAACCACACAGATTGTCATCCAGACAACAGCCGCACCACAAGCCACCATCGTACAACAACAACAACAACAGACACAGCAGCAACAGCAGCACATACAAACACAGCAGCTGCAGACGGCGACAACAACAACCGCAACGCTGGTGTCGACAAACAAGCGCACGGCACAGCGCAGCAGCCTGGTTGGCAGCGGTGCTGTCAAGCGCTCGAAGACGAGCACCGCCAACGTAATTGATCCACTGGAATCGGCAACGGATACTGTTGCTGCTGCGGGCACAACAACGACACAGCTGGCGCCGCCGCAGCAGATAACCGTACAGACAACCGTGGTGGCCGCCAGCGAGGCAAAGGTGCGCCAGCATCAGCAGCAGCAGCAACAACAGGCGGTTGCACAGGAGGAAGCTGAATATATTGATCTCCCCATGGAATTGCCCACTAAATCGGAACCGGACTATAGTGAAGAGCATGCCGAAGTTGCCGGCGATGGCGATACGGCCTATGTAGAGGACGATACCTACGGCGATATGCGCTACGATGATAGCTATTTTACCGAAAATGAAGATGCCACCGGCGCCCAGGCACCGGGCAACACAAGCACCACCAGCGTCCAAGCGGCGGCAACCACATCAAAGGCCGTGGTCAAGCAGCAATCGCAAAGCTACAGCGATTCCTCGTTTGTCGACACCGGCGCGGAGCAAAGCAACACAGAGGCTCAAGGTTGGTTGAAATTTGACTATGGCCGATCCCAGCGAGACTCGGCTACGACCCGGGCTCCACGGATCGGCTAAATGCCTATAGAGTTTTAGCCATAGTACATAGAGAGGAGGCAGTCGATTTGCGAGTTGTGCTCGGTTCAATATTTACGCAACTATATCTCTTAAATTCTCGCCCATATTGGTTGGCTTCCATTTTCGGTTCCCGGCGTGCAGCTCGCAATTCGACCCGTGCCCTCGACGGTTGTAAAGAGCGCTTAAATCTGCTTTAATCATACGCCGTGATGTCATCGCTTCACATTACCTTTTTGCCCGTGCACATTTAAGAGCTGCTTTATCAACCATTTATAGTAGATAGATAAGATAAGCACAAAAAAGCCAATGCTCTATTTTCGCTAAAAAGAGCATTTGGCCGAGCGGCAGACCGAATGTAAATTTCGATTTGCTGTGGCAGCTGCTCCCGCGTTTCAATTCTCGTTTATTTATTCTTAACGCGTGGGGTAAGTAGAGTGTTTCATATGCATTTAAATCTGATGGGGAAAACACCTGGAGATTCCTGGCTGGCGTGGACATGGAAGGACTGGAGGACATGGAACTGGAGCTACTGCAACTGGACTCGTTTGGTGCTGTTAATACGAAAGGTACTCTGTTAATGCAGGTAATCTCTTCTGTTAGATTTGTAGTATTTTGCATTTTCCTTAACGTTCCCAGCCTAGGAGTAAGCCTGGAAGCACTGGAAATCGCGCTGCCGTTTGTTTACCAATTCGGGGCAACGTTGCCACCTGGTGAAAACTAGCACTGTGACGCCGTCGGTGGTTGTTTTTATTCGTAAAGATGTTGTTACGAACCCCTCTGGAGCAACATAAAAGCTTGCTGCCAGTGGTTCGAGCAACGGCATTAATTGCCGAGTCTTGTGATCTAGGACGTGTACAGTTATTAGTCTTACATTGTGTATGAATTTCTTAATGCATGTATTTGGCGCGCAGATATGTTGAAATATTTTGTTAGCAACTGGGTTTGCTTGGGATTCATCTGATTTCGGATTGGACTACGAATGGAAACTGCTGTATATGATTAATGCAATGGCTACCAGAGTTGCCACTGAGTTGAATTTTCGCGCGCTAGCATAAATGTTAGCGTTGCCACTAGTATGTTGACAATTTCAAACGTAAATTGGATTTACTTCCAAAAAAGAAAACGATAAGTAGCACAAGTTTATAGTGTGCTATTAATGCAATGAAGAAAAAGTGCGCTTAGATCGGATGTATCTTTTTTCCGCGATTTCAACCACTCATTGGACTATCGAATAATGCAGTATAAATGCGTGTAGATATATACCAACAAAAAGAAATATGCGTATATCGCAATAGAAATGTATCCACTAAATTTGCGTACTTTGATTAGCAGAGGGTGCGTCGATTCTGCAAAAAAAAAGCCAACAGGTGCGTATTTTTCACATTTTAATTATCAAAAAGAGGTTTCTAGATTTGTGTTTATCTTTAAATGTACATTAAAAAAAGAGAAATATACAATTGGTTTCATTTAATTTGTGTGTAGTGCTGCCAGACTTTTTTTATAGCTCGTGAATACAACGCTGTGTTTACAAAAGGTGGCAACGCCGTCAAAGATGCTTTGCCAAACCAAGCCAGACACATATTTTTTGTTGGTTCGTTAATTTATTCTTTTTTCATATATATACACAAATTAATTGGTGTTTTATTATTGATTGTGAATAAACAGTGATTTGTGCTGTGAGTTGTGTCGTGAATGATCCCTCGGCTTAATTCGCAGGCCATTTTCCGTGTATGCCTCAGTGAATTTGTGCGTGTTTTGTGTATTGACAAAATTAAATTGTTTCTCAGTTTTTTTTTTCTGGTACTGATGTAAGTTGGGTTCCATGGCGGACTCTTCTGTGGCTTGTAGAAGTAGCATCTTTATATATATGTGTACAGCATTTGTGTGTACATATGTAAGTAGGTAGAGCCTTGGTGATTTGTGCTAATAAAATGCTTAAAGCCAATGTTGAATGTCTGTTGTTTTATTTCACGTAGCGTCTAAGACTAAATTGTAACTGTTTCCATATTGCCCGTATATAACTAAGGCACGACATTTTAATCATACGATTCTCACAAACTCAATTCTTGTCTGTCCCTCTGTTGTATTTTACGCGCTCGCTGATGCAGCTGGCAAAATCCAATTTATACGCAGCCAGAAGAAGAACGCGCAGCTCGTCTACAAGGATTACATTTACAACAAGAAGCTAACCCAAGCGAATGGACAGACAACATGGCGATGCGCGGACGTGCTCAAGCTGCGCTGCAAGGCGGTGGTCATAACGAAGAACGGCGAGTTTCTTGACGCCCGTCGCCAGCATAATCATGAGTCGCATGCGAGCCGGATTGGGCAACGGCAGCTATACAATGTGGAGGAGGAGCTGGATGAGTATATCGAGATATGCACATCGAATCCAAAGATCTCGCAATACCTGAGCAGCAGCAACATCAGCATCATGACCGCCAAGGATGGCAAGGAGTGCAAGCTGTATGTGCCCGCCTCGGAGGCAACGGAAATTGAGATGCAGGCACTGGTCGATGCCGCCGACGACGAGGAGGATCTCATGGAGCGCGTGGTCGAGCTGAAGCCCATACAGCGCCTGTCGCACAAGCTCAAGCTGCATTAGAGGCTATCTAAACGAAAGTTACAAACAAATCCAAACATTTTACCACGTACTTGTACCCATGTCTAACCCTATTCAATAAAGCCAAAAACAAGCAGACAACTAGTTACAATTACTGTTAATGATATAAGCCACATACCCTGTAAAAAAAACTCGAAAACTAATTCCTCACTAATCCAGCTGCATTTCTCGTTCACAGCCGACAGCCAGCTGCTGTTCATCGAGAGCCCCTGGTCGACGCCCTGCCTGGTGCTCAATGGCTACATGTACAACTGTCACAGCCGGAAGAACAACAAGGAATATTGGCGCTGTCACAACTACTCGAAGAAGGTGCACGAGCAGCGCTGCCGTTCCCGTTGCGTGCTCGAAAACTGCAAGCTGAAGAGCATCACGGGCGGCCTGCACAATCATGCGCCGCACACTGAAAAGATCGAGAAGATCATACAGCGCAATCGTCTGGCCGGGGTCAGCACGGCGCACAAGAAGCTCAAGCGTCTGCACCACATTAGCCACTACCAGCCGGAGCAGCCCAAGGAGGAAGAGGTGGAGGAGGAGGAGCAGCAGCAGCTGTTGCTGCAAACAGAACAGCAGCACCAGCAGCAGGAACAACCCCAGTCGCATCATCTGCTGGCAACTGATGCGGCCACTTTGCAGCTAACCGAGCACGAACTGGTGCACGCCTCCCTAATGCTCATACACGACTAGAGCGTGGCACATTTAGTTTATATTGGAGCAGCTGCAGCGGTTATTTTTTTTGTAACAGACTCGAATCAGCCGATGCAGGGCTCTAGTTTCCATGTTGACAGTGCAATTTAGTTACTAAGTAAATAAGTCCGAATAAAGGCCAAAACTAAGCTAACAAATTGTAGTCAAATATATCTACATGTATCTGCTCTCGATCAGTTGTAAGTACCTATATAAGCTATATATTCAAGAAAATACTCACATCTTTATGCATCTTTGCAGCTTTGCTCAGCTACAACTATCGCGGCCAGCTGGTGCATCTGGGCTTCTCCTACAGCTGCCATTCGCGCAACGTGCCGCGCTGCGTCGCCTTTTGGCGTTGCACCCAGCACAAGAAGCTCGGCTGTAGCGCGGCGCTGACCACCAGGCGAAAGGCAATTGTCGCTCAACGTGGATGGCACAATCATGCGGCGCCCCAGAGGATGAAGACATTCGTGCCCAGAATTTATAGCTCATCAGTTTGTGATTGATTGTAATTGGCTTTAAGGCTTTTCCCGCTGCTAAAGACTAAAACTTTTTTTTACTTCTCTTGCAGCTGCAATAGCGTTCACAGGGATCGGGATTAGACTCTCAAGAGGACCTCTCAATCTGGATTGCAATTTGGCTTCCATTTAAGGTACAAGGCGGACTTCCGTCCTACGCAGCTGGAAAACCTTTTCGAAGGCTGCGCTCACTCAACATATTCGCATTAAATAAAGATTCAGCTTGGTTAAACGCAAAAAAAAAACTGCCTCTCGACTTTTTCTAGATAAGCCTTAGTTTTAATTGAAATCTTATGTTTATGTTTTAATTCAAATCTTATGTGCAGCTCTCCTTCTAAGTGAAAACTGAACGAGAAGTTTGCTGGTTCGAGCCCTAACGAAGATAAGATCTAGCAATGTTTAAAGCTTAGATTAACTATATACCATCAAATGTATTTTCAATATTATCCTACATTAATCTCTGCTCTCTTCCAGCTTACACGTACAGTCAGAGAACACGCACCTCGAACATGAGCAGCCCCTTGATCTTGCGTCGCGATCCGCAGCGTGTGCCAGTGCCCAGGACAAGCATTAAACAGTTGTCCGCGATGGATGCAGTTGTCAAGCGGCGCACATTTACGCCCGCAACACTCAACCTCAATGTGGACGCAGTTGTCGCTGTCTCTCAAATGGAGCCCGTGCGCGCCCGGCTAAATCTGAGCAATCCGGAGAACATATTGCGCACCTCGAGCAATCAGCACAACTTTGTGTTTGTCGGCGTGCCGCGGATGAAGGGCAAGTGCGTGACCTGCCTGAAGAAGGGCAAAACCAATCTGGAGCGTCTAACCACCTGCTGTGACACCTGTCCCGGTAGCAATTGGATGTGCGAGCCCTGCTTCGAGGAGCTGCACTAGCCCATATACAGGTCAAATATAAAGGTATACTTTTCGGAAAGTGTTCCAATATTTTTTGTCAGATTTAAAGAGTCGAGAAATATATATCTATATTTTATTTCCAAATCCTTGTCCAGAGCTTAACATTTATAAAAGTCGTTGTTTATGTGTCCTAGGTTAATGAGATTCTGGAGCCGGGCTTATTGTTGCCTGGGATAACTATATATATAGTTCCTATACCAAGTATATAATTAAAGGATCTATTCGCAAAGGATCTAACTGCGCCAAGAGACTTTCGGACATGGCTAAGGCGACACTTTAAAACGACTATACAGGGACTATATATACCCTAAGAGATATCCGATTTCCTGATAAAATCTATAACATCCTCTGATAAAAGGCCAGACCTGACCCAGCTATATACAATAATGTATCTTATCTTATAGGCAAATTATTTTGGGTTATTAAAAAAATGTTTTCAGCAGAATGCGATGCGATCCGATTAAAGTTCGTAATATATTAACTGAGTGCGCGTCGCGACTTGGCACGTTCGCGCTGTCGCTTGGACATTTGATGATTGTGCGCTTCGTGGAGCACCTCGAGCGCATTATCCTTGGTGCGGACACGGGCGCGGCATTTGGTTGTGGAGCGTGTGGCGCAGATCCACTTGGTGCCGCGGCTGTTCTCCATGAACTTGACATAGCTGTGACCGCCAAAGTTCAATTTGATCGACTTCCTCTGACCCTTGGTGAAGTAGAAGATCGGCTCTGCAAAGTAGAGAGAGAGAAAGAGAGAGAGTGTGTGTGATCTTCGGTTAGTGCGTGCTCCAAAAGGCGAAATGGTGTGTGTAGATTAAATCGAATAGCTTGCGTGCTGTTTGAAGCCTTAGTTAAGTTTATTAAAATTGCGTTTACTTGAATAATGTGTGTGAATGTATTAATTATAGACAATTGAAACGTTACGAACTACGTATACCCTGCCGCTACTCTCACTTCTTGCGGCCCAGCACACGGGCATGGCTGTGTGCCCCGCCCACAATGCCAGTTACATCGGCGACAATCTCCTCATATTTTAAATGCATGCCCAGCTCGTTCACATCGATGGTGGCTGTGGCCTCGTCCGACAAGGTCGTGGTCAGCATGGCATCGCTTGCCAGCTGCTGCTGCTGCTGTTGATGATGATGATGATGGAGCTGCTGCTGCTGCTGTTGATCCTGCTGCGCCTGTGCCTGCTGCTGCTGCTCCTGCCTGGCTGCTGTTGTGGCATAGGCCTTAGCATCCGGCACTGGAACGCGCCGCACGCGCTTCTTGCGCCGCACAATCTCCTCGTGCGTGTGAAAGCGATTCAGCGGGCAGACAATGTCGTTGATTGTGAAAACACGCGAGCGGCACTTTTGATTCCACCATTGATTGCAGCGCCAATAGCGCTTCTCCTCGCCCGTCGACAGCTTCAGGGTCTTCTCGAAGATGAACGGCTGCCCGCCATAGATGAGCTGCATGCGGCCGCGCGACGTGGCGGAGTAGATAGCAATGCTGCTTTCTATATATGCATAAATAAACGAATATTGAAATTAGTTTAGCTTGATAACAATTGGAATTAAGACTTATTAATTAATCAGAATTAATCAGAGTCGTTTTCAAGTCGTTTCGCCATTCAGGGCTTACATATATTTTGTTTTGTTTTCAGCTTAAAGTCTAAACCCGGCTAATTGCTGGGCGGATCCTGGGCTACCGTGCGTATGGCTTATGGCTCTCCAACATGCGGGCGATGCGCCTGGACGGCGGATGATTATGCTGCGGACGTGTCAGGCACACTTTGTAGCTGCCCTTGGGTAGCCTGGTCGTGGAGAGACGTGCATTGCACGCCGGCAATCCAGTGCGTCGTATGCGACAATTCCAGTAGGTGGTGGCGCCGTGCTCGTTGTTCTTGGCGTACGCATATTTGTCATAGACCAGCTGCAGTGACTTCCGTTGGCCCTGGATGAAGCGCAGCTTGGGGCACTTGTCCAGCACGCACTGGCCCTGCGCATTGATCACCGCATCCACGGGCAGATAGTCGCCCAGGGCAGCTGGAAGATATGGAAAGGAAAAATATATTAGTGTGATGAACAGGATCTTTGAGCAGCGCCTGGCAAAAATAAATCGAAAATTAACGATGTACACAAGTTCGGTTTTATTTGCACTCAAGAGCCTTAGCTTAGTTTGATCGGCTCCTGCTTGGCCGGGCGTATCCCAATGCACAACGGATTGCGCGCCAGACAGAGCTTATCCACGTCCAGGCTCTCCTGCTGCTGCTCCGGCTGCTGTTGCAGCATAAACATGACCGGATGCGTGTGCCTGTAGCTGGTCACATGGATCAGATCACCTTGGCTGGTGATGCGCGTCACCAGACGGGCCCGGCACTTGGCCTTGTGGTACATGGAGCACTTCCAGTCGCGCGACTTTTGGCCCGCCCGCAGCTTCTCGTTGGGCGTGTACGTGTTGCCCTCGTAGTAGACCAGGTCCGTGCCGCGATTGGAGCGCACATATTGCGCCACATTAGCTAAAAGCAGCAAAGAAGAACGCAAATAATTAAAGAACTTACGTCTGGATTGGGTTAATGCGCAGCAAAGTGATGGGAGTTATGTATTTTTTAATTATTAGTGAAAAGCAGGCGATTTCATTTGCAATACGGTTTATTATACATGGAGTGTATGTGTGTGTGTCTGTATATATGTGCGTGTGTGTGTGTGTGTGGTGTACTTGCTCAATTTGTAGCTTTGTGCGCGGCCATTTGCTGCCCACGCATGTGATTGTGAACTCCATTGCGCAGCTGCACCTGCCCGGTCTCCTTGTTCTGTATGGCACGCGCCCGGCACTGGCTGCGAAAATTGGAACATTTCAGATAGCAGCGCTGCCGCTGCTGATAGCTGATCACAAACCGAAAGCCGTCGATGAGCAGGCAGCCGGCGCGGTGTCTGTAGGTGATGCGTCGGCGTCGCGGCGAGTAGGAGGAGGAGGCTGCGGGCAGAGCACAAAATAAACGAATGTTTTAAAGGTTTAGTGAAGCAAATGAGTGCGTGTTAGTAACAGAGACTTGCTTTGGATGATGTAAGAAAATAAAATATAGCATAGTTATAGTGTTGTGTACAGGCTTATGTTTATTAGGGACTAGTTGCAGCTCGACGCCAGTGTTGTCAATTCAGCGAATCAGCCAGACACCGAAGAGAAATGACTTTCGCCTTGCATTCAGTGTTGCCAATTCAGCTAGTTTCTAGCTAAATGTGGCAACATTCAACTTTATGTTTATTAGGGACAGTGTTGCCAATTCAGCGAATCAGCCAGACAGACTGACACCAATAAGAAATGCCTTTCGCCTTGCATTCAGGCTTGCCAAATGAGTTATTTTTTTAGGTAAATATGGCAACATTTAAAATTTTAAAACTAGCTTAGTTACTGGCAGCTCAATGACAATTACCAGCAATCCTGTTGACAATTTACAGCTAACTGCAGCTATTTTGAGCTTTGGATACAGCTGGCAACACTGCCCGAGGCTTGTGCATTTTGAACGAATTGCTGGCATGATTGTGCTTGCGATGGCTCAGCTTGATGCTGCTGCGGCCGTTGCTGCCGGCTGTTGTTACGCAGCGTGCCGGGCAGCGGATCTTCACATTGCTGTTCTTGGTGCACACCCAGTTAATGGTCGTCAGATATTTGCGCTCGACGGTGTACATGTGCCCGTTGTACACGAGATTTTGGCCGCCGCGTCGATTGGCCACCAGGCGATAGCTGCGCTGCGTCCGCAGTTCATCTGCAAGAAGCACAAAGAGATTAGTTACGACTGCCGAATGGGCGTAAGGTATTGCAAAAGAACATGAGCTACATATTTGTATTTGTTTAAGTTAAACGCAAATCATATTTATTCGATTCAACGGGTTTTCTTGGTATTTTCTTTTTGGGTACACGCTCATTTTATGGATGATTGTGCTGGCCACGCAGCGCCGAGATCTGATTCGATTTGGTCACCACGCGCGCCGTGCACTTGATGTACTTGCAGCGCAGCTTGACGCACTCCCAGTAGCAGGCATCCTTGATGCGCCGATTCAGGGTGAAGGGTTTCCCATTGATGGTCAGCAGATTGTTGCCGCGATTGCTGCGCGTAAAGCAAACATCCAAATGGTCGAAGCTCTCCTTTTTACCCGATTTCCGTTTCAACGGTGGCAACTGTATTTTATAGTCGGACAGTAGGGTATCTGGAAAACCAAAGTGTTTGGATGGCTTCATTAGACGATTTGCTAAACTATAAAGTGTTCTACTCTTTCATACTAATTCAAATTCAGACTAGACAAACTAAATTCAATTTAAATGTAAATTCTTTTTATTATTTCCATATAGCATTCGTCTTACAAGCTCAGAATCTTATATTAATAGTCTTAAAAGTAAAGATTTATTTAAAAAGAACTTTGATTTGTTGTTATAATACTTTTATAGACCATTTTTGAAATATGTTTATTAAAGCGTTGAAGTCTTACCGTGTGTCCACATTGTTGTTGCCGGGCTTTACATATTTTTGGTATAAATAAAGCGAGAATACAAGTTTTAAATAATTACAAGTGTAAGATGCACTTCTCTTTTTACACACTTTCACTATCAATATCCTCTAATTTCTGTATTAAGTCGTGTTGCTGTACCTCAGCACGGACACGCACGAACACGTCGTGTTGAGTCGCATTTCACAATATTGCCAACTGCCTGATTAAGCTTTCTAGCTACAAATTGGCCATAAACAGCTAGTTTATATTATTGACAGTAATAATTAGCTGAATATGTACATAATTCTAACTGTTTTTAGCTGACAATCTTTGATAATCGCTAAAAGTAGCCAGAAAACAGCTGAATCGGCAGCACACAGCAGCAAAGCGTGACGTAGGCCCAACACTACTTATTATTGTTTTAAATATTATTTTTTTAATGTGTAATTACACTAAAAATGTTCACATAGGACGTATCAAAGAGATTCACAGATTATAAGAGAAAATGCTCTGGAGACATTTTAACTGCTAGACAGATAATTATGTCGTCAATTTTAATTGGAAGCTGCATTTGGCAGACACAGACGCAGGGCGCGGGGGTATGACATGTTGCATTGTTGTTTCATTAATTTGCGCGCGAATTAGGTGTGCAAAGGTGTGGGGCAAATTATAATTAAGGCAAATATTAACATTAAACGCATTGGCATCTGGCACATATTAAGGGTTGGCTGGACAAGCTGAGCGCAAATTGCAGACTATATTCATGTCAAACACAGATTTATGTCGCTTTAAATCTATTAAATGTACACTTTTAGGATTTCGATTTACTTCACGTCTGTAGATCATTTGACAGCTTTGATGCCATAATTTGTACACAAACTTTTTTTTATTCTCTTTTACAAACACAAACACAATATATGTACATTAGTACATGCATCAATATATAATTATGCTCACATCAGCAACAGCTTCTTTGCCACAATTACACTCTCGCTTGCATTATAGAGGCTACAGCAAGGTGTTTACTGTACGCTATTCACATTTTATACGGTTTAACTAAATATTTAGTAATTTCTTACAGCATTTGCTGAAATTTTGTTTTCTCAACTCCGGCGACTTCTGGCGTTGCCAGATGTTTGGCGTTGCCACACGCCTGGTATACAAAGCAACACTGAGTTAGCATTTTTTATGTGTGTGTTAGTGTGTCTGTCTCAAAAGTCGTGCATTTTCTAGTTTGCCAAGATATTAACAATTGTCAAATGGCATTTAAAGTGATTACAAATTAAAACGTAGAATTTGTGTATTGAGCATTTCAAGTGTTAATTGTGAAATGTGCCTTGTTGTTAGCGAGAAATATGCTCAAAGCATTCGCCGCGTTCGCTTCGCAAATGTAGGATCTCATTTTAAAACTTTATATGCATATATATGTAAAATAAAATAATACAGCAAGCATTAAATGTGTGTTTTTTTTTATTTAATTTATAATTTTTAAATTCATTGCCAATATTATTATTATTTAATAATTGTGTGTGCATTTTGCAGTGCCGCCAACCGGAAAGAGCCAAAAGGAAGCGGAAATAAGCATTAAGTCAACCAAGGATGCGCGAATACCGCTATTTGCGGGCAGCAAAGTGTTTGTCTCGAAAGAAGACTTAGCCAAGGTTTATGTGCCCATTCCGCCCATATACACATCGCGTGTAACTGACCTGGTCATTGGCAAGGAGCAGCTGAAACGCATAGCGCGGGGCGAGCTACAACCAGAAAAGGACATGTTCCAGGCAATTATAAGTATATAACACACAATATAATAACTGTTATATGTTATACTAAATTATTCTCTGCCGCAGCTCACGTATGCCAGGTTTTCGCACGGCGCGGCGACAAGCTAAAGGAGGCCACAGTCCAGGAGTTCATAGACCACAAACTGGCCACCATCAAAGCCAACCTAGCCGGCGGCCGTAGTTAGTTAGTAGTTTTCTAAAAAAAATATAAACAAATTTGCCTCATTGTATGTCAAGTGTTGATAACTGAAAAATAAAATGTTGTAGAACAATTTGTTAATACCCCCGCCCCGCCCTTGTGATGTGTAGCCTATAAAACTTGCAATTAATACGTGTATCTCGCTATCTTTGTAACGTCCTAATATATATTTATAATTCTTTACTCTTTGTAGGTGTCATGCAGTCCATTCGTGCGCTCTTCGAGGACAAGAACACCAGCACGAACATTCAGTATACGACCACGCAACGTGGTCGCATCATGCTCATCTACAATGGCTATCGATATGTGGTGAATCGTCAGAGCCTGAAGAACGTATTCTGGCGATGCTCACGGTATGTGAAGCACTGCTGTCGCGCTACCCTGGTCACGTCCAAGGTGAACGATGTGACGCTTCGGATTGCCGGCTCGCCGCACACCCATGGGCCCGAGGTGAAGGCGGATGAATGCAGCTCACCGGAGTTTACCGTCGAGATTCTCGACGAACTCTCGGAGCTACAATAAACTATTTTCTTCCCCGATCATATTTGTTTAATGCATAAGATGTCACTGCAATAAATTGAATAGCACATGAATGTCTTCATGTTGTCGTTTCTCTGCTACAGAAATAAGCCTAGCTTGTAGATATTTCGCAACTAATTAACTAATCCTTGCGCCTCTTGCAGTTGACGTCAAGCTGGAGTTTAGCTCGGAGCACTCGGCGAACACCACGCCGATTCCATCGGAAACGGATGCTGCTATAGCTGCCTTTACAGTGGCGTGCCTCAGTGACGAGGACTCCATGTGCATACGGAAACCGTTTACGCTGCCAAAAATTCTCGATGGTAAGTTCTATAAGAATATACAACCCAACCAGAAGACGCCCGGCGCCATACAAGCCACCTGCACCAGCTGCTTTGGCCTCATCTCGGGCACCACCAAATCCACCGGCAATTTCCTCAGCCACATCAAGCGTCGCCACAAGGAGCTATTGCCGCTCTGCCAGCTCTACTGTCAGGCCAAAAGCAATGCCAGCACGAACGCCAGCTTGAGCAACTGCAAACCCGCCATTCCAATCACCTCAAGTGCCATTGAGCAGCAGCAGCAGCCGAGCATGACACAGATGCCCACAGCGTATGCGACGACCACGGGCCACCTGGCGGTGCCCATGCCCCTGGCCATGCCGCTGTCCATGCCGGTCACCGTGCAGGCACCGCAAATGATGGCACTGATGCAGCAGCATCAACGGAGCACAGCGATGCCTCAGCTACAGAGCTTAGGTCCCGGCGGCCATGCTGCCGTGTACATCAGCAAGGATTACTAGACCGACCGGGTTTGGGCGTTGAAAGACAGTAGAGTACCTATCCTAAGTGCAACTTCGTCAATAGGTCTTTGGTATATATTTTGTATCAATTGTCAATTACCGAAAATTATGTGTACATTATAAATTTTGTATTATAAAAAACAAAGCTGATTTCGTAAGTTTTTATGCGCCCAAAAAATGAATCTAAAGGGTTTCTTATGCAATTGTATGGAACAGAAGGCCTTCCTCTTAATGTTGTTAAAGGGAAATAACAATACTCTGAGACATGGTAAAAATCGAAAATGATGAAATGATTTTTCGTATAGTATATATAAATTATAAGAATTCCCCTTCCTCCTAAATGCATCTATGTTTTTGTATAGAATATGCAGATTAAATATATTCCATTTAGGAGGAGCAAATGGATTATTTCTAATCTTTTTCAAAGCTAAAGCTGTCTACTTAAGCAAAGAAAGAGAATAGACGCTGTGTTAAGGGCCCAGCAAGGGACTAGAATTTTTGTTAGGGTATCTCCAAGTCGACTAGACTTAAACTTAAAGCCAGTTGCTTATACTTTTACTTTACAATAGAACTCAAGAGCAAATTGATATATAAAAAATTTAATATAATAAAGTCTAAGCAAAGCTGAAATCTAAAAATTTCATTTGAAGCAGCTTTTGTTTTCGCAATCCTTACCAAGTTTATCTCTAATATTTATGTATTTTTTTTTTTTTTTTGTTTATAAACTTTCAAGCTAATCTTCTTTCTTGTCTAGCCTGCAGTCTGAACCGACAAAAACTGACAGCTGCTCCGCCCCGAACTGCAATCTTTACTTAAGTTTCATTCAAGTTTTGCTTTTCCGTTTGTTTCCAGGTCAGACAACCACTTGCATCAATGGCGACGCAACCTTTAACATGACCAACCATCCCATCTGAGACCCAAGCTGGCAATTGACGGCAACGAGTACAATTGGCATCATGGCTGTGATAAAAAAGGCGCTTGGCAAGATCAAGGGTGAGCACGGATCGGATACCAAGTCGAAGAAGACAGTGAGAAAAGTTGTGTCGGAGAACGGATCTGGGCTCAATAAATCAAGCTCCAAGAGCTCGAAGAGAAAACATGTTTTAACTAAACGCAAAGAAAATGTTTCAATTTGATTATATCTCAAGCTGCTTTTATAGAGTTAAAGTCGCCCATCTGGTAGATCCAGAAGTTCTTCTAAGCAGCCGGATCTTCAGTCGACAAATGAAATGGCTTCCGCCTTAGCCCCAGAAGAAAATGTAGAAATTTGCATTTTACACAAGCTTGTAGCCTAATTTCTAGCATTAAATTAAACATGTTACAAACATATAAAAATGTCTTAAAATAATTCTAAACTCTGTTTACAAACTTTTTGTTAACTTGCAAATACTTTAGTTTAAGCTCTAGCGAATTGTGTGTTAACTTTCTAAAGAAAACTCTTTCATTTTCTTGCAGCTAAAATTCGTGGACGTAAGCAGAAGTACAAGCCCTTCGATGGCACCGCTGACTTTATATTGACAGCCCGGAATCGGCCCAAGCTGATCATTGGCCAAAATCAGTTCATAGCCCATCGAGGTGTTGGCAAAATCGGAACGTGGCGCTGCTCGCAGCACTCGAAGGGCTGCAAGGCGCGTGTGTTTACCTTTGCGTGGGGTTCAGCGATCAAATATCGTTTCTCGTGCGCCTCGCATGTGCATCGAAAGACAACATATTTTAAGAAAAAGCTGGCAAACAAGTTTGTCAAACAGGAATAAAACAATTATCGAAGTATAAATACGCTCGCTGACAATTTACTGCAGAAACTAGATGAGATAGTATGCCAAAAGTTGATGGAAGTATTCTCAAAATTTGGCAGCCTGATGCCAAGTTTATTTGAAAAGTCTTACGAAACAAATGATAACTCAATAACAACTACTTTCTATATAATCTAGAAGAGATATTGGAGTTTTGAAGGGGATTGGAGTATAGTCAAAGTTCTCTAGATCTCTGAGATCGAATCACTCAAACATACAGACAGATCCGGACTGAGCATATATAGAGCTTATAGAGGAGCTGTCTAAAATTATATACTATATATTTGATGGGCTTAAAGAATTCTTTCTTTCAACATTTTGTAAATAAATTATAATAACCTGCAAGGGCATAAACTGTTGTGCATATACTTTCTATACCGAACATTTTGTGAACTCTGGTCTAAGCTTAAAGTATGTCTTTTTCAATTTATACATAAATGTTTATAATTAATATAACTACAGTAGTTAACATTTGCGGCGGCTCTAAGGCATTCATTTAACTAGGTTAGCTGCTCAGATCTTTCAACGATACTCTAAATATTTGCAATAAGAATTGACTTTTTTTGGTAAGCCTTAGATAACCTACTGGGTCTCGGGCTCAGGCTTTACAAGTTGTACTCCATTTTGGTACTATTCGATTTGTTGTTTGTTTTCCTACGCAGTTTCAAACTTAACCATTTGATCGATGCCGCTGTCGGCGCGATTCCAGCCATGTATGCGATCCGCGGCGGTCAGTGAGCTCAGCTTCTTGTGTATGAGCATGCCGGAGGCTTTGGCTGCCTCAATGCGTTTCGTGTCGCCCATGTGGTTGTGCACATCTAAAAACAAAAAACAGGAACGTATCAAAATGTTGCCAATTAGATGACTTTGAGGACAAACCGTTTGTTACATAGAGATCATCGCCGATGGTCTTCAGGCGGCTGCGGCACTTCATCGATCGATTCTGAACACATTCCCAGTACAAGATGTCGTTGCTCTTGCCATAGAACTTGAGATTGGAGCGATAGACGAAATTGTTGATGGTCAGCAGGGTGCCGCCCTTGCGGCTGATCAGGAACGTCTGCGGACCACAGTTGTGCACATGCTGGGTAACTGCAAGGAGTGGAAATGGAAAATATAATATTAATTCGACGATTAGCTCGAACATTTTGTGGATCAAAAATATATATATGTTGGATTTGAACAGATTGTAAAGTGTGGCGCTTACGTGCTAGCTATTTAATATGGAATCGCGGCTTTATTGTCCTCAATGTTTATTACAAAATAATTTGTTTAAAAGAATTAAGTGTAGCTTGCAAATTGCCTTGAAACGTTGTCGTGATTATTTTTTAAGTATATAGTGTATAGTAAAATGTATGTAAATCGTGTGTATGTGTGGGTGCGTGTAGGCACTGCTTTGCCGACCAGTGTTGCCAAACGTTGAGTTGGTAAAAGTATTGCATAAATCTGTCGTAAATAGCCATATTTTAGCTGGAAAATAGCTGGCTTGGCAACACTGGCGCCGTCAGACTTTTCAGCTATTAGTTATTTTTTCTTGTTTTGCAGCGCCTTCTGCAGGCGCCGCTTGATCTTCTCGCGAAAATCATTTGGATCAATTGCTTCGCTAGTGGGTTTTATATTGGAATTTTCCTCTTCTCCAGCAGCCGGGGCGAGCACACCATCAGCAGCTGTTTCTGTGCCCGTCGATTCGTTAGCGTCAGCTTCTTCAATTTCATGTATTTCAAATACTTCGCCCTCCTCCTCCTCCTCCTCATCCTCGCCATCCACTTTCGCTACGCTCTTTTGTATGACAATCTCGACTTTTGGTTCGGGCTTGGACTCCACGCTGACAGCGCTCTCGCCCGGCATAAATTGTGAGGAGGTGACGCTCTTGTCGCTGGCCTGCATGAAATGCACATGTTCTCCATCGAAGGGAAAGACATTCTTTTGGTCGCACACCACGCGAACTTTGCACTCTTCGCCGTGCTCCCGGAAGCAGCATTGGAACACCGAGAATTCAGCTTTACGGAACGAAAACTTAAACAGATGCCCCTCGTAGACCAGCTTAACGCCGCCTGCAAGGGTATGCAAATCTTTGATTAATATCATCGTGGAAGCAACAAGTGTCGGGGAAGAGGACTTACCCTTGGTAGTGGAGGCATACACGGCTGGCCTGCTGGCGACCTCGTTTTCTGTGGCCGCCTTCAGCTTGTCAAGCAATTTGAGTTTTGGCTGCGCATCGTCCACCTTTGTTCTGGGTCGGCCGCGTTTACGTGGTGGAATTACCTGCGGTGCGGGCAATGTTGATGTGGCTGGAGCTGTAGTTAAATTGAAGTGCGATAGAAAGTGGTTAAAACACGGCTCAACATGTAGGCAGCTTAACGGAAACTAAATAAAACACAAGTCTAAGGTTTGTGCCAAGTTGGTGGGCATTTATTAAATAATAAATTAAATAAAATAAAATATAATGCGCTGCAAATGTAAATCACAAGCTAAGAAGAAGCACTGTACTTGCGGGTGAAATGTTGCCACCTGCCAGCAATTGAGGGCACAGTTGCCACACATGTGCTAAAAATGTACCAACACTACTCGACGGGCCAACCTATTGTATATTTTAACATATATCCGTTATATTGAAAATGTACATGGTTGTCTACCTATAGTGAGGCGACATTTGAAAACTCTTTAGCATTTGAAACACCTTAAGAATTTGCAGAATTTATAAATTATTTTTTGTTTTTTTGGTACATATTAGCTTTTTCGAGTGGCAACTATGATAATGTGTGGATGCAGCGTTGCCACATCCAAAAGAGCACAAGTCAGCCATCTTGTTATTATTTCGCCGTATTCTAGTGATTTTTCGCCGCGTTTAACTACGCTTGGTTTTGCTTGTTAATAAATTTATTGAAACCCGCTACAATAATTGTTATTTAAAATGTGCCAAAGAAGTGAAATACCAATGTGCAAATGTGCTGTATGTGCTGAGTGTATAAAAAGTGCTCTAATGTTATCAGAACGACGCCAAGTGGCCGCAGCACGCTTTGTATCTTTTGCGTTGTTTGTGTTTTGTGAGACCTGAACATAAAAGATTGAGTTCCCCATTTTGCCATCAATGGCAGTTAATTTGAATGAAACATACAATTTTATCGAGCAATGGCAATGGTAAGTGCTGCAACTTAAACAAAACCCATAGATGCTACGCTATACAATGTAAACTTCTTTTGTATATGACATATATATATATATGTATATGTATGTGTATGTATATGTGTGTGTATACCTTGAATAAAATATTTGCTGCTCGAAATGTTGTGTATTTTTTCTGTAAACTAAGTGATTTTTAAGGACGCCAGCAGGCACCGGAGCCACACATATTACCCATTTTTCCTATACAATTGCAGGGAGCGCAGACACCGCACAGCAGAACGGTCAGTTTATAGCGGAGCTGCCGACCAGCGTTTGGATAAACAAATACGATTATTTCTTTATACGCAACCAGAAGCAGGGCTACAATCTGATCTTCAACGGTTACATGTACAAGAAGGAGGCCAGCTTTCGGGCGACCATCAACTGGATCTGCTCCGATGGCAACGGCAAGCGCATTAACGAGAACAAGTGCTCCGCCCGTGCCATTACCAAGTTCGAGGGCGGCATCAAGCTCGGCAAGAATCCGCACAATCATCCGCCTCGGTTCACGGGCAATACGCTGCCCGCCAAGCTCATGACCAAGGAAATGTTATTGCAGCACTATTAAAAAGCCAAAACAACAACAACAACAAATCTCTTGTCTTGTAGTTCATTTAGTTGTGTGCGTTATCAGTGTACAGTGAAAGCTCGACGAACGGACAGAACGGGCGCACAGAATTTCCACATATTTATAGCTCAAAACATACTCAAAAGTACACTGAACAAAAATCTTGAAATAGTCGACAATCTCAAATTTACATACAAAAATCACAAAAATGTTTACGAAAATAGTTTTTTAAATATTTAAAAAATTGAAAGCATATTATGATAGTTTGTAAAAAGCTTAAGATTAAAATATGCTTGTTGATTATTTAAGGTCCACCTTAGCGAGCTTTCACTGTGCGCCTAGTTTAACTTAAGGCTCATCCAAGTATCTATCTCAACTGAGCATTTCTCCTCGTTCATCCATCAACCACATAATTTGCATTTATCATCCCGATCCCACGCAGCAGCAGCCGCAGCCGTCAAGTTCCAGCGCACAGCTCAGGGCGAGTTCCTGCTGATCGATGGGCGCAGCTATAAGAAAACCCGGGCCATGCAGTATCGCACATATTACCACTGCCAGACGCCCAACTGCGGGGCGCACTATGTGCACGTCGAGCTGAGCCGCCGGCCGCGGCTGACCAAGTACAATGGACATGCGATGCACTGCGTCCAGAATGAATTTTAGCCAATAGCCTTAGTGTAAGCTTCTGTAACTGATTAGTTAACTTAAATGAAAAGCGACAATCGAAACTTGAAGCCTTGTCTTTTATTTATGATCAGGCACAGCAGCTGCTAGTTAGACCATATCCGAATCCGTTTCACACACACGCACATCCTTTTTCTTCTTATAATTGCAGTCAAGTTCGACTATCAGATCAGCGTGGATGTGGACGTGGGCGAGGATCCGCCGCAGGACTGTCAGCAGCGTCGCAGCGCGGCGGTTGCCGTCGGCGACAACAGTTCGCCCTTCTTCATTGTCAGCAAATATGGCACCAAGCAGATCATGCTGAAGCAGCACACCTTCAACAGGCACATCACACGCGAGGATGTCACCTACTGGCGCTGCAGCCAGTTTGCCGTGTTGCGCTGTCGAGCACGGCTCAAAACCAAGCTGGACACGCTGACCATACTGAACAGCGAGCACAACCATGAGGTCATCTCGAAGGCACGCAAATATGGTTCGCTCAAGCGTCAGCGGGCGGAGGCAGCGGCCCGTGCCGGCAAGGACGAGGCTGAGACGAGCGCCTGATTCGCATGTTAGCCTTAAGCCAATTGTACATATACGTAAAGCATGTTTATTGGATCAGCTTCATACTCTCAATATATGTGTTAAATAAAAGTCGACTTAGAGACGTGCACACAGCCTTGTAAACTCTTTATAGAAAAACCTCTTTCTATCTATCCATATTTCTAGATTTTCCGTATACTTTACTAATTTGTTTTAACTCTTTCTCTGTTTGCTCTCTCTAGATGCCATGTCGTATTACTCCTACATCACGGGCTTCCGCGGCAGCCGCAAGCTGAAGATCGGCGAGTTCACCTTCACGCGGAACAAGGCCACCGGAGCGAAGACCTATTGGTCCTGTGCACGCGCTGGCGCCCACAAGTGCAAGGCGCGCGTGGTTACCATACAGGATCACGACGTGATCGTCAAGTGCAGCCAGCACAATCATCCGCCATACTAGTCAACGTTTTTTATAGTCTTTTAGCGTTAACAATTTAGCAAAAAAATAAAATTGATTTCATTTAAAATTTTTGGCTACTCCAATTGTTAAGTTCAATTAGCTTCTAATTAATTGCATGCCATGCAGACATATATATCTAATTGCTCTTCCCACTCTCTACACAGATAGCTGCGCGGCGCTGGACGTGCTGGAGGATTTGAACCGGGCTGCCATTAAGCATTCGCTGCTCTCGTTTGTCCGGGGTCAGCGCGGCTGCAAGCTCCTGGCCTTCAATGGTTACAATTATGTGCGCAATCGACGCAGCGGACTCAAAACCTACTGGATATGTTCCAAGAAGGTAAGTACTCGAGCCCTGCTTCGATTAATTCATTTGTCATCAAACTCAAACCGACAGACTCGAGCAAGGACAGACTCATATAAACGAAGTTCGAACTGCGACATGTGCGACAGCCAAACAAGTTCGAGTCGCGAACGAAACAATTGTTCGACTGGCTCGATGTAGGCCTCCAATGTGTCTAGATTATATTATTAATTTCGCAACCCATTCTCTACCTTCACAGGGCAGCACCAAGTGCAATGCGCGCGTTGTCACGAACGTGATCGAGGGCGTGCACAAGATTGTGCTCGAATCCTGCCATCATACCTGCTTCAATTTCGATCGCAAGAAGCGTATGTCAATTATTACGCCGCTGATCAAAACGGGCCACAAATCGGTGGCCAAATCGTCGTCGTCGCCGGGCCTGTCCGGCTTTGTCAAGACGGAAGCCGAGGAGGATCTAACGCTAGAGCTGCGCTCGCTTAATCTAAGCATCGAGGATCTGCAGCAGCTGCAGTAGCCAATTAGGATTAGATAAGAAACTAAATAATAAAATAAACTGGCCTGCTACGCAGCGCATAAGTAATATAAAACCCGCCAACTAAGTATATTTATTGTTTAAGCAAGAGTCGCATTTATAATTCAAAGCCTGTCCCTAATTTGTAATATTTATTTTGTATTCTTGCAGTGCACATTCAGCTGCTGCGTCGCGCCTCGGCGCCTACGATCCAATCCGCCTCGCAGCAGCCGCTGGTGAAGCGCGTGCGGCTGGCCAAGACCATGGAGGATATACACTATATGAAAACGCCCGCCGGCAATTGTGTGCTGCACTGCGGCGAGCATCGCTATTTGCGCAATGCCGCCTACAAGGACAAGGTCTACTGGAAGTGCAGCAAGTGGCGCAAGCAATGCCGCGCCCGGATAATCACAAACACCACATCCAATGGCCAGCCGCGTTATGCCATCAGCGGCGTACACAATCATGCATAGACGGACGGCAGGGCGGCGACTCCCAGCTAAATGAGGCCAATTAAACTAAGACTAGGCTAGTTACTTATTAAGTCGATGCAGTAAACCAATTGCCTATAAGTTCGCCAGGCCAGCCAGGTGAGTTGTGCTTAATTATTAGTTGCTTTAAACTAATTTTGTTTTCGTTATTTTTTAGCCGACGCGTCTCAGCTTTTGTTTATCATTTGACTGGCATTAAATTACGGCAGCTACAATATAAGCTTTATGCAAACAACTAATAGAAAATGTTTTTAATTTTAATGTAAACAATTCGTTATTTAATCTTGCAGTAAATATTAGTTATATTAATTATTGTAAGCATATATTCAAAGTGCTTGCAACTACTTTTATTTGTATTATAAATTATTGTTATTAATTAATTGCATATTATTTTATATTATTTTCGTATCTTCAATTTTGCTATTTGTCATTAACCCGTCGCCCTTTTGTCTTTCAGCCTTGCGCCCGCTGGATCCCAACAATCTGGGCGACTATGGCAATGAGAGTTTTCTGCCCAAGTCGCGGGGCATTGTGCCGCAGTCCATACGCTGCGGTCTATCTGCCAAGCGCAGCTGCACCCGCACCCTGGACGACTGGGATCGTGTGCGTTATATGCGCACGCTCGGCGGCGATGTGCTCATCTATGATGGCCAGCGCTTTACGCGGCGCGGCGCCTACGAGGACACCATCTATTGGATGTGCAGTCGCAAGCGACTGAATTGTAAGGTGTACATGATCACCAACCGAAACAAGCCCACCTATGTGGCCATATCGGGCGTGCACAATCACATCTAGAGCTAGGAACTACGAACACAATTATTCTCTTCTGTTATACTCAATAAATGTTCGCACAATCCCTAACATAAGCCTAGCCTTATAATTGCCATAGCACTCTTCTTACACAGAATATCTTTTAACTTTATAAACTAAGCTAATTGTTCACCTTTTCAAATTCTTTCAGAGCTGGCGGTCTTTGGCACGGGCCAGCGCGGACGCACAGTTCTGCTGCACAACGAACAGAAATTCGTCAAGAATCGCAGCTCCGCCTCGCGCACCTATTGGATATGCTCACGCAAGGTACGCGATATGATTTCATATGACATATGCATAGATCTTGGCTGCTTTTACAAATTATTATTAATTATTATTTCGAATCAGTTTCTTTTATCAGTTTCTGGCCTTTGAAATAGGCCAGAAAGGATCTTGTGCAAGAGGCAGATGGATGCATTTCCTCCTCCATAAAATATTTCTGATATTCCTAACAGCCCATTTGGCTAGGTTCGTCTGTCTGTGTGAACATTTCGTACCTTTCTTCAATATCTTATTTTCATAATATTGAGAAAAATATACATTTATTGATATGGTTTTTTAAGCTTAACTCAAAAAGTATAGAAACTTGATACACAAAACTTGTTTTTTAGAATATAATTAAAATATAAAGAATATAACGAGATTGAAGCTTTGCGCTTTGATAAATATAACTTTTGTATGCCATATTTAGAAACCCAAAATGTATAGACCATAAATAAAGAAGTTCTTCGAGAAAATATTTCTTTTCGCAAGGCTTTATTTCTCTATAAACTATGTACCATATTTGAGCCGGTAATTTGCAGCCTTGATAATCTTCTAAGCATATGAATATATCTTCCTTTAATTGCAACCATTTATAACTATATTCAATTTGCAGGACGTGACCGTGTGCCGTGCCCGTGTGGTGACCGCACTGGATAGCTCCGGGCAGGCGCGGATCATCAAGCGCAACTTTGAGCACAATCACAAGCCCAAGTTTCTGCACAGAGGCGTCAGCCTGTCGCAGCAGCTGTCCATAATTGAGGGCGCCACGACCGCCGCGCTGCTGAAGAAGGGCAAGATGAAGGGCAGCCTGTTGCCGCTGGCCAGCAAATAGAGTAGGAGGAGGAGGAGCCTAGGCTTAAGCTAGGCTAGAAAAAACTGTGTCTGTTGAATGCAAACGAAATAAATTACATTTAAATAGGAGTTCTTTAATGCCTAAACCATATCAATTGTATATAGTAATATATTTTTATAATTTTTGTTGTGCATTTGTTTAAACGTTTTGTCACTAATCGGGCGTCTTTTTTTTGCAGCATTTCACATCGACTTTGCGGACTCGAAAAAGAACGGCGGCAAGCTGCTGGTGATCAATGGCTTCCGTTTCTTTAGAAACAAGAAGCGCGGCCATTTGCAGTATTGGAAATGCCGCAACTACTACAAGGAACGCTGCCCGGCCATAGCCATACACGATGAATCGACGCTCATTCTGCGGCTGTGCCATCAGCATCAGCACATGGAGAGCAATGACATTGAGATTAAGCCGCTACCGTCCACACTCAAGGAGCTGCAGCCGGAGGGCCTGCCGGAGGAGCAGCTGGAGCTGATCGACAGCGATCCGGCTGACATGGAGTCGTCCGCGCGTGCGCCGCCGCCGTTGCATGAGTACAAATCGAAGCATAGCTACGAATTTTAGTTAATATTATATGAAAATCGTCTAGCTCTAAGAATTCTTGTATTAAAGCACACAAATGTCTGCCCGGCTCTTTCAATGTCAACACAAAGCAAGAAGAATTATTGTTATTATTATTATTATTATTATTATTGATGTGCTGCTCCATTTCTCAACCATTTTTCTGCTTTCCTTGCAGCTCGCGCCTCGGGCCATGGCCAGTACAGCGGCTTGAAGCCCAAGATCCAGTTCTCGCTGTCCAAGCGCGGCGGCCAGCTGCTCTGGCTGGACGGATTAAAATACTTTCGCAACAACGAGAATCGCTCGAATTTCTTCTGGCGCTGCCATTGGTATTATCGTCATGTCCGCTGCCCGGTGCTGATCTGCATGAATAAGTTCGACTACAGCGACTTTCGTCAGATCCATCAGCATTGCCACGTGAAGCCGCAGCGCAAGGAGAAGCAGCCGCAGGACCGAAGCAGGTCGCGTGCCCGTCTGCCCGACGGGATCGAGGCGGACACGGAGCTGTTCAACATCTAATTTAAGTGATTTTTTGCGAAGTTGGCTTGTAAATAAAAAGAGAGAAAGATAAAGATAAACTAGGAGCAAAAAACTTGTAAACATATTTGGCTAATCCTACATAATAATTGTATACATTTGCAACATTAACTAATTCCATGTTTAAATCCTCCTTTCAGTTGTGCTGGCCAACGATGAGGTGCCCAATCCGGAGGATGTGCTCGTCTTTTTCACACAATCGCTGCGCGGTCGCCCGGCCATCATGGCCAATGGCATACGATTTCTGATCATGAGCGAGAACAAGAAGAAGATATTGTGGCGCTGCAGCTCGATGGCCACCAAGAAGCTCAAGTGCCCGGCACGCATCACCATGCTCAAGGAGAATCCGCCAAAGTTCATCATCAACAAGGCGGAGCACATGCATGCCGAACTGAAGCGCAACAAGTATAGCTCCAGCAAGGCGCATTCCATGACCCAGACACAGACACAGGACGCCGCCCAGATAAAGCTGGAACGCGACATGGACGGTGCAGTCGGCTTCCAGCTGCACGAGGAGGAGGTGCACGAGCTGCACGAGCTGACAGACGATGCACTCTAAGACATATATTAGAATTAACAATGTGTATAGTTGAGAATAAAGTTCAAAAAAGTGTACAAATATGTGAAATAGCTGAACTAGAACTTTACCAACTAGCTTTACGGATTGTCATGACTAGAATGTAACTAAAGTTGTCTCGTTTTCCATATATGTATTCCAGATTTGCCCAACTTCTGCTATGTGATCAGCCAGAAGGGCCGCATCCTGCTCCTGCACGAGGGCTTCTACTATGTCCGCGAGAAAGCCTTGAATAATAAGACCTATTGGCGCTGCACTCAGTACACGACAGTGCTCAAGTGTCACGGACGAATGCACACGCTCAATGGACGGATTGTGCACTTTTGCAAGCACAATCACAGGCAGGAGGAATACGGACGCAAGCTGAAGGCCGCGCTGCGCGGGCGCACCTAGGATCAACTAGGGGGTACCCACAACACATTCAATTTCTAAAGCTACACTCATTTATTTTGATTTCAATTACATTTTTATGTACTGAGCTGAAGCTGGTTGCGGGTTCGAATCCCGACTTCGACTGAGCCGCAGCTATTTGAGAGCCAGATTGATTGTTTAAAACTATAAAAAATACGACTTAACATAATACAAATGCATTGAGAGTAAGATGAGTCTCCAGGTAACCCACTCGGTTTGAGTGTTGCGGGTTCGAACCTCAGGACTTTGTTGAATAACCAAGCCTATTCGATAGTTCGATTGATGATTTAAGCTATATTCTATATATCAGCACGATCTTTGGCACGTTAAATGCTTTTAAGTGTATTTAAGGTCTCCAGTGAACTGCAAAAAGAGAGGTTGCCAGTTCAAATCCACAAAAAAGTGTTGATATGTAACTATAAAACTCTATATATATGATATACAAATTATAATACTTATATATTTGTGGAGTTAAATGCTTTTAAGTGTATTTAAGGTCTCCACAGAACTGCAAAAAGAGAGGTTGCCAGTTCAAACCCGCAATGTTACTATAAAACTCTATACATATGATATACAAATTATAATACTTATATATTTGTAGAGTTCAATGCTTTTAAGTGTGTTTTAGGTCTCCAGAGAACTGCAAAAAGAGAGGTTGCCAGTTCAAACCCGCAATGTAACTATAAAACTCTATATATATTATATACGAATTATAATAGAAATGCCTTTAAGTGTATTATACGGTCTCAACTCAAGTGTTTATTAATATTTGAATGAAAAATAAAACGTACATAAAATGTTTGTAGCTTTCGAAAAGCTTTGTGTCCCAATACAAGGGGCTGGTCGCGTAGAATTTCGAAGAACCTTTCGCACTAATCTGGCTACAATTTCTCCCATTGCAGATATAATGCTTCTGGCCAACTTTACGAGCACCCGCAAGAAGAAGCGCAAACTGTTGATAGACAAACATGAGTTCGTGATGGATCGGAAGCTCAAAAGCAGCATTAACTGGCGTTGCGCGCGTTATCGGAGCGCCAATTGCAAGGTGCGGGCCACGACGCACGAGCTGAAGAGCGGCCAGGAGGTCTACAGGATAAAGTACGCCAAGCACTCGCATTCATGAGGCAAAGGAAACGGCAGCGAAAAGGACAAAGTGAAGCGGAAAGACGGGAAACTGTGAAAGCGTCTGCCACATCCTCTAGATTTAAAGCGGAGCTCCTTAATAAATGCCCTACGAAAAGCCTAAAGAACTCTCGGCCTATTCAATGGATACTTAATTACCTTAGTTTAGCTTTAAATTCCAGATCAGCTTATGTTAATCGAATTTCTCTTATACGCACAGATCTGTTGCGCAAGCGCGGCATACTGACCGTAACGGACAACAAGGGCATTCCCAAGCTGCAAATGGATGGCTTTGAGTACGTCCGGAAAAGTCGTCAGGGTTCGAAAACCTATTGGGTTTGCGCCCAGAATCGTCGCCAATTGCGCTGCTCTGCCCGCATCATGACCTGCTCTAGCACCGGGGAATTGGCGGTCAAGAATCCGGAACATAATCACGAGCCAGAGTTTCCAATCTTGCATTACTGAAAGCGCTTCAAAGTTTACTTTTTAATAATAAGCCTTATAGCCGGGCAAAACCGGTCAATATAAGAACATAAATAATAATACGACAAACTCATTTTAAGCCTTGGGCATTAATTCCAATTTCCATCAAAATTCGTGGATTTACCTCTTACGCGAATCTTTTCGAAATGAGTTTGATTAACGTAAAAGAAATCAACAAAGTTTTTACAACATTTTCCAACACTTCCGTGTAGGATTGAGATTTTACCTAACTTTCGTGTAGGTTTGTGGTTTCACAGGAAAGAGTGAAAATCATTTTCCATGAAATATGAAAGAAACTTTTGCACTAACAATAAATTTCCTGCCGTTTCAGTTCGAGTTCGTAATGGATCTAAGACCTCGGAGCAGCATTAACCGCAGACGAGCTGAGAAGGATCCACACGCATTCCTGGCACAGAATTTGAACTGTTGATTCCATAGATTATAACGGAACCAAGTTCGAGCTCAAGTCAATAATAAATGCTGTTTGCTAAAGCCCAAATAATTGTCGCCCTTGTCGCATAGGATAATGCACGCTACTCTAGTCTAGGCTTAACTTTCCACCTGGTCAAAGTTCTGATATATTCTAATTGTTTCATATATTTGCAGATCTGGTGCGGAAGCAGGGCATCATGATTGTCAAGGGCACCAAGGGCAAGCCGAAACTTTTGATGGGCGGCTTCGAGTACTTCCGGAACAACAGCCGCGGCTCGAAAACCTATTGGTTGTGCGCCCGGAACAGGTATCTGCGCTGCGCTGCCCGCATCATCACCTGCTCCAGCACCGGGGAATTGGTTGTCAAGAATCAACAGCACAATCATGGGCCACAGTTCCAAATGGAGGCCAAGAAGACAACGTCCGGTGCGAACAGCTCGAATTAGCTCGCATTCCCCCCACCAAAGTATTTCTTTCTTCTTTCCAGCTAATAAAAGAGATTCGCTTTCAGTTTCCACAGATATAAAGATTTATCGGAATTATTGTAAATAGTCATAATTTACACAGCTGCTCTGTAAACAAATGAGTTCTACGAAGTAATCCAATAGGCTTCTAGTAGGTCTGTATCTGCATTATGTTAACCGGTTTTGCCCGGGCCTAACCAGTGGAGAGTTTCAATTCGTTTACATTCCATGAAAAACAGTGTTGCTTAACTTGTTATGATTCGAATTTCACGGTGGCTTGTGAGTTAACCGAAAAGTGTGAAACAGTACTTAAATTATTTGGAACGGTAATCTTAGTAAATGTGTTTGTAGATCGGACAACATCTAAAGTTGAGGCTGTAACGCGTCTTTCCAGAATATCTTCCGACTCCTAAACAATCTTAAAAGAGTCTTAAAAACTTGTAAAACAGGTCTCGATTGAATTTTCGGAAAGATTTTTGACTTAACGTTATTTATCACAAGTTTTCCACAACTCCGATCAGAATTTTTCTAAAGATACGTTTTAGTGTTGTCTAACGTTATAAGAGTTAAGTAATGTGCAGAGATTAGCTACCCATTTTATCGGAAATCTCTTCGATCGGAAATCAAGTCAAGTATATATATGTATATATATATATAAATTTTTGTATCTTTCGAGTTTTTTGTTCATGTCTTGAACTCTTGAACGTGAATTGATATTGTCTGCGGCACTTTGCTAATTTCTTGTGTAAATATTGTTTTGTTTATACAAAAGCTTGACCGAGAAAGACGAATAACGACGACGGCGACAAGAAAGCTGATTCAGATTTTCATACAGTTGAATTGTGTCTCATAAATTCCATGCGATGTGTGTGGCACATGCATAAACAAATACACGCACACGCGCACACAAACATGCGTGTGTGTGTGTGTGTGGAGGAGACTGCGTTGCGCTGTGGACAAAGCTGAACAAATATGTGTGACTAACTGCATAACGGGAAGGCGTTAAGTGCCTGCGATTAGTTAAGGCAGCAGTTAAATATAAAGCCTGCAAATCGTATTAATTCACATTTGCGTTGAGAATACAACTAACAAATATTGCTCAAATTTAAATAATTCAAGCGGCTCCGATTACCGTTAAAACGGTTACGCGTTAAAAAAAAAAAGTGGTTCATTTGTGAACGCTACGTAGAACCAATGCCAATGCCTGTGGCTATACCTATGCCATGTCGTATTAATAAATAATTTTCTAATAATTATAAATGAATTAATTTACTATTTATACAAGCAAAACTAGGCAAATTTCATAATTTTCGTTCGTTGTTCTCTCAAATATTCGAACTAGTTCATAGCTATCGATAGTATCGCACAGAAATCGATTGCAATACATCGCATGTGATTTCTCTTATACGTATCGAAACATCGTTACTGCGAGTTCGCTCATTCGTTTTCACAGTATCGAAGCGTACGGACGTCTCGCGCGTCGCGTAGATATTTTATTATTTTCTCAGCTTCTGGTAGGTGGTGCGCGCAGCAAATAAAGAAATTTGTGTATTGCAGCAGAAGTTTTTCGCTGCGCACAGGCTGTGCCGCTGCTTGCAAGAGACTATACAAAGCCAAGCATAAAACTAATTGTAACAAAGAAAAGTGTAAAAACGAAAAGAATATACATTTAAGTTCAAGGTTTATTTCCACACAATGCCAGAACCGAAGTTCAAACGCATCTAAATTGAAAACTGTGTGCAGATTTTTGTATACACTGTCGCGTACGTGTGTGTGTGTGCGTGTGCCTGTGCCTGTGCGTGTGTTAGTGAATGTGACTTCTGCATTTTGCTGTGGCTTAAACCAAAAGTCAGCCAGCGCAATTATTGAATTAATAAATGTGCACACAATAAGAAAATATAGAAAACATTGTCTCGATCTATCTGCGGAAAAATATCTAAACCCAATTACTCAGTTTGCTCTCAGTTTAATTCGATTGACACAGAGGCAGGCGGCAGAGCGCGAGCGCGAGCGCAAGCAGCAGCAGCAGCAGCAGCAGCAGCAGCAGCAGCAGCAGTAGCGACAGCAGCCCCAACAAAATATAAGGCGACAGACTTAACTTGCCCACTCTTCGCCCGTTGGTGGTGGGAGACGCACACAGAGTACAACAACAACAACAACGACAACGGCACAACAACCACAAGGAGAGCCAAACCTACTCCAGCTCTCAGCTCTGCTTTTGCGCAGATTGACGCAGCGAATTCGCCGTGTCGCTTGAGCGCTGCTCAGTTGCAGCTCGGTCGACGCTGTTTGGAAACACCTTGCTCCAATATTTTAGCCTGGCTGTGTGCTCTGCTCTGCTCAGCTCTATAACTGCCGTTAGTCCAAGCGACTCAGTGGCCGTTGCCGTTGCTGTTGCCGTCGCAGTCGCCGTCTCAGTTTCGTTTCGTGCGATTCTTTAGCTGCAGCAGTAAAAATCGTCGGAAAATCGCAGCCACAAAGAAAAAGGCAACATATTTGTGTTGTTGTTGTTGTTGTAATTTTCCAATGCTGCTTGACTGCGCTTTGCACGCGATTCCCTACAATTTGGTTGCGGTCAGCAGTGCTGCAACAACAACAACAATAACAAGCATAAGCAAAACGGCAGCAGCTTTAACATTGTCGCCGTGTCGCCAGCAGCGCCGCAGCATCGCCAGCCCCTCGGTCTCGCCATGTACAACAACAGCAACGCGAGGCGCAGCAGCGATGCCAGCATAGAACAGGTTTGTAGCTTAAACATTTCTTTTTTTCTTCTTCCTCTTTTTTTGTTGCTTTTTTCGTCTTGCCGCTGCCGGCGCTGACTCTCAGCTCGTTCGCTGCCGCAGCCGCAGCCTGCGCAGCGCTCGTTGCTTCGTTTTCGTTTCGTTCGCTTATTCATAACTTTTTTGGTTATAGATTTTTGTCACCCACCCAGCGGCCAACCCCCAACCGTCCCTCGCTGCCCCAAGACTTAGCTATGCTTTGGCATCCCAAACCCTCCCCCCCCTAGAACCCCAAACCAACCTCTCGCCCGACCAGCTCGCTCACATGCTCAACTGTTTCAGTTTTTCAATTATTAATGGTGGCCATTAGTGCGCGCCGTTCGTACGTTGCGCCGCCACGCCCCCCGCCTCGCCGCGCCGCGCCTCGTGTCGTGTAGACTTTTTTTCCTTATCGGACAAATTGTGTTTGTCTGAAAAGTTCAATGAGGTGCGCGCACTGCAATTGCACTTCGCTTCGCGGTCCAATCCTTGTCATATTTATGCTATCGACATATTTACAGTGAGCACTCGACTAAAGAACTACCTGGGTGATAGCCGGTGGATTATTCACTTCCAATGAATAACTTAACGTGTGAACTAAATGACCGATTTAGTTCACGAACTTATTCAGCTAATTGAACTAGAAGTTCCCACTCCCCGTGAATATTATTCACACTTATTCATCTAATATTTAAATACAAATTCTCGTACAAAAAGTCTCTTTTCATTTTAAATTATTTCACATTGTCTCTGAATCGCAACTGAAATAAGTTTGAATCGAAAAACTATACCCAAACTGGATTTGAAAATAAAAAAATTCCAGGGTAAAAGAACAACAGCGGAATGGAGTGTGATTTTCACTTCCAATATTCACATTTATTCATCTAATATTTGAATCAAATTTCTCTTATAAAAAATTTCCTTTGAATTTAAATTTTCTCATATTGTCGCTGAAACGGAGGTGAACTTAGTTTGAATCTAAAAACTCTACGTAAATTGGGCTTGAAAATAAAAAATGGTCTAAGGTGAAAAAAGAACGGAATTGAATGTGAATTTCTAGGGAATAAAAGAGAGGTGTTAAATGGGCACGCAGTTGTACCACTAGTGGACCCAATGGGGGACCTAATAGGTGGACCCAATAGGGGGACTCAATGACATCGAAATATCGAAAAATATCGTGTACATTCATCGAACTTGTAATAACAAAGAGGAACATTAAAAAACAACTATCTGAAGCTCCAAAAATCGCAGTTGTCCGCTCAAAAGAGCTTTCACTGTAAGGCACAATACACAATAGGGTTTATGCGCATTTGTAGGCCTGATAAAAATCATGTTGGCATGTTGTCTGGCTTTTCAGATACCGATAACGATTCGAACCCGCAGCACAACGGAAATGCGTTGCATTAAGAGAATTACGCGACACCCTCCGAATCCCCCTTTCTCCCTCGGGCTGTTACACCGTGTTGACTAATTTTCCCGCAACATGCGTGCGCGCGTGTGTGTGTGTGTGTGTGTGTGTGTGTGGGTGTTGGGAATGGAAAATTATTACTACAATAGCTGCCAACTCATAGAGATAAGATCCGTTTCACGGAAAAAGAGCGGGTCTTCCTTCTGTGTGTTGTGCAAATCTTGGTCATATCTTTGTGAATTGGGTCTACAGTCATAGCATAGCTTGCAATTTATTTAGTATAGAGATAAGAGAAAGGTGAAATCTGCGACTACAGTTAATCATAATAATAACTTATACGGGTATTATATATAGACGGTCATATATACGGGAAATATCCAAAGTATTGTGATGGCAGTTTTGGAATGGAAAGGCAATAAGAATTAAGATACGTTCAAATTCATGGGTTATGCGAGGTCAACATCTAAATGAACTGGCAAATCAAATAACTAATTAAATTTCTGACAGAAAAACGTATGAGTTAAAATTTAGTTAAATCAAGATCCAATAAAGACGCAGAATTAATCTGATCTAGATTATCCTACTCTTGAATTTTCTGGCAATTATGCTATATAGCTGATATTCGAAATGTATCTGTTTGGTAAACATACTTGAAACATATATCCTCTATATATGAAACTGTTTGTCCAGATTGGCTGAATGAATGACTGAATGAATGAATGGCTAACTGACTGACTGACTGAATGAATGACTCATTGGAGATTGAAGATCAGAGCTGGAAAGCTGAAATGTTCACTGTAGTTCTTTGATGTGATGAAGCTGCACGTTAAGATGGGGCTTTCAGGGAATCGTGACAAATGTTTGCATGAAACTTTTTTTTTACGTTTTGAATGTTTAACATTCGTTCATGTTTGAAGATCTTTGTGAGCATTTTTTTGACACGTTCCTGGGTGGCAAATGCGTGGCAAAGGTTTAATAAATGCAAGTTTGTTCCTCAGCTTCAAGATTCTTTAACATTCGTGTACTTAGTGGAAAGGTCGTCTCTCAAAAAAAGTAGGCGATGATATTGGAAGAGGCTACTTTTGACTGGAAAGGATACTTTATCTGTGGTTCCATCAACTGCCTTAGTCATAAAAGGACCTTTATTTAATAGAAAAGACAACTCAGTGGAAGTATTTCTTTCGAGGACTCATTCAATGGCTCGTCAACTAAAAGGAACCTTCAAGGAATTTCTTGGTACAAGATGTGTTGGATGTACTGTTGATGAAATACATGCTCATGATGTTATTGACGATGTCTCCATTGAAGTTCCTGCAGCAGACTTATGTATTCCTTTGCAAACTAGAAAAAAAAGGGCATGATGTATATACTATATGATGTATATAAATATATATTGCCTGACGGATTTATGTCAAGTTTCATTAGGATATCTCTAAAAATGCGAGGCTAGACAACTTATTCATGAAAGGCTACCCTCATTCATTGCCAACTGCCTGCGCTCAATAGGAAATGCCTGCCCGATGAAAAACTCCGTGTTATTGTTAAGTTCCTTTTTTACCTGACTGCCAGATCCTTGTGCTGCAATACGGCATGTTTCTACTACTTTATTATCCGCAGCCTAACTTGGCGTAACCCAAGCTCTTTGTCTTGTGCAGGCACACACACACACACACACAGATCCTTGAAAGCAACCCAATTTGCCACAAATACCAATAAAGTCATTTCACAGTCAAAATTATAGCATGTCCTGCGCCAGGCTGGGTCCATTTGATAATTGCTTAAAGCTGGACGAGCCGCATCTCGCAACACTTTGTCATGGCCCATTCCCGTTTTGCGAAAACACATGCGAAACTCGTGTCGTGTCGGTTCGCATATGTTGCTCAAAGTGATTATTTGCACTAAAAATAAACGAAATAAATGATTGATGAAGTGAGACAAGGGAGCGAAACGTTGCGCCCAAATGTCAGACATCAACACCAAAGAGAAGACCAACCGCCCCATTCCCATTCCCATTTACCAGTTCCCAGTTCCTTGCTCCGTTGGCAAACAACATTTCAATCGTAATGAGAAGGGGAAAGTGTCATTTAATTGAAAGCAGGTGAAGCTGGCTGCCATTTGCCAAGATGCAAGATGGATGCTGGGAGCTGTTCTTTTGGGTCCAGCCTTTTGTCACAGACGCGAACCGCAGCCAGACGGAAATCGTAAAAGTGTTGCATAAAAATATTTTTTATGTGTCTTCGTTTGCGCCTTCGTCATAATAATAAAATGCAAATAAAATAAGACAAACAAGAGGCGATCTATTTTTTGTCAGTTGGCGAATATTTAATACCCTTACAAAACACATAACGCCAGGCAGATCATGTTAAAATTGAAAATTGCTTTTGTGCTTGAACTGGCAACTTTCTGCTGGCTGGTTCGACGCTCAGACATTTAATAGTCAAATGCCACTGTCCACATTTCTTACATTTGTGACGTATTTTATATATTTGGCGAATGTGAAGTATGATGCCCGTACGTTTTTCCTTAAGAAACCACATTTTTCACATATTATTTGTATTTAAATTATTTCAAATCAAATCGATCCGCTGTTTATCTAAAAAGGCAATACTTTTGCCAACAACTGATGCTTGCTAATGGAATCGCAGAATGTGAAGTTTGTAAATGTAACATATTTCGGGCCTAGTGGAATCAGGCTGATCTGATGTCACATTTGCAAAGCTGACTTTTATGTCGAGTCTTTCACGCTGTCTCTCGGTGTTAACTTTGGATCTAAGAGCTCCATAAATAACTTTCTAGTTCTCATTGTTTAGGCTCTGTGTTGACCACCTGACGGATGAGAGAATATCCCAATGAAGAATATCTGACAGAGCTTGTCAGGATCAACCAAGGGAAATCTAAGGGAAATCTTCATGGGAACTATGGGAACTACTTTTATGATAAAGAAGGCGCGACTCAAAGTCGGATCTATGCCAAGTATCAGTATACAGGAACTAAGTTCAACTAAGGATATTATGGTCTATGCCAAGTATCAACATCCAGGCAGACACATATGGCACCTAACTCCTTTTCTTCTCGATGCTGAACGAGAATAGATAAATTTCGAAGCTCTCTCTGAGATGCGTCACATATTTGCTGGCAATATGATAATGCCCAACGGGGCAAGGGTACATCCACAACAACAACAAATGCCAGAAGACGCCAATGCAGAGCAGAAGGCGTGGCCATGGCGCTGCGTGGCATGAATGTGACCGTGCCACATATTTCGTTTATATTTACTTGACAACTTTCGCAGGAGTCGTCGTCGTCGTCGTCGGTTTCGGGTTCTTTGGTCTGGTCTGGTCTGGTCTGGTCTGCAGGCCCCGGCGCTGCATGTCATCAACAACATCATCAGCGACTACGTCTCCGTCTCCGTCTCCATCTCCGTCTCCGGCTCCAAGTGCAACTGCGGCTCCGACTGGTGTCTGCCGTCTTTCTATTTTATAGTCCAAACGTGCTGGCAAAATGTGCCTGGCGCGCATATACATATATAAATATATATATATATATTTTTCTGCCTTGGCAGCGTCTTCCACGGGCTTTTCTCAGTGCCCGCTGTGCTGTGCATTTTCGTTTTGGGGTCCGTGCTGTGCCTCGCCTGGCATTTTTCTCGGCGCTTTGGAAAAATAAATGAATGGGCAACATGCAAACATAAATTCGTTTTTTAGCTGTCAGGTGTTTCACATTTTAAACGTAAATTATAAATAAGGCACAAAACAAAATTATAATTCCGCCTAAATGTTTTATTGGCCACCGCCTGCTGTCTGTCTGTCTGTCCGCCTCTCCCACTGCTATATGCTCCATTATACCCTGTAAAAAATGGGTAAAAGTGGTTCGTACCCGAAAAGCATATATAATACTTATTTCTAGACTTGTTATATAGATTCCTTCATCTCAGAGCGCTTACTAGCTAAGGACAACAAGAGTTATGCAAAATCTTTTATTTCACACGCAGCTCAACTTTTTGCTTTGCAAAAGATCGACAACTCTCCCATTTCAGCTGAAATATAGATTTCGTTTAGCATATCTCAAAAATTGTAGGGCCTTTTTCGTATCGCATCTCTTTTTTGCTATTTATTGTGTTTTCTTTAATAACATAGTAAGAAATATTAAGTTTATTTTTATTTTTACTTAAGAATACTATTTTCTCTACTAAAAACTTCCTTCTAAGCTGTTGCGGATGATATTAGAAATCAGAAGTTTTTTGATGAATGAATTTTGAATATCGTGAAGCAGAGAGAAGAAGTTGTATGTCACGCCAATTTGCAGCTGATTACAGGGCATCTTCTAGTCGTACTCTTTTACTAGTTTATCGCTACGCTTTTGCGGCAGCCAATGCAAATTAAATTTGATTTAAATTAATGATGAGGCTTATAATTGGCCTCGTTTTTGGTTTCATCTTCTTTCTATTTATTTCGGTTTTATTATTTTTTATGTGGACACTTCACAGTGTGAATGGCGGCGACATTCTTAGCTCCAGCTCCATTTCTAGCTCCATCTCGCATCTCCATTTCGCACAAAGCCATCAACAGCAGCAGAAGCAGAAGCATTGACGTCGTCTCTGGGCTTTTCTTTGCTGGCTTTTTAAGAGCATTTGACATGACTTGGGCTTCGTTCGTTTTTCATGCGATGCGATGCGCTTCAACTTTGATTATGACGTGAAGTTGGCCAAGTGCAAATACTTTGCTGGTACTTTTTAATTAACTTAATTAGCATAGATGATGGGCTAAGAGCAGCGCTTACACAACATGAAAATTGCATTATGTCTTCTGCCGACCATCCTTCTCCCATACGCTGCGTACCTCTCGCATGCTAAAGTTCGTCAAAAGTCTTGATGATGGACGGGGGAAGGACGGGGGGAAAGCGAGGGTGTGTATGTTTCTGGCCTTTTGATTTCGGCTATGGCAGCCATATACAATGCTTAGGGGGTTGGCTTCCATTCACATGCTCATTAATGTGCATAATGTGCTCAAAGCTATTCGAAGCGATTGCTCTTTTAAGTACCGACATACTTTTATGCTCTTATATATGACCCCCCACCTCCCCTCCATTCTCCACCCCCCCTTGATGAACCTGCCTTATGTTAAATTAAGTTCTAACATACTAATTGGTCATATTAATTAGAAATATCTAAATGGAGATTCTTAATAGTGGCGTGCTCTGTTGTGTTAAGTATTCTGGAATTCCTTCAGGACCTTTTCCGTTTTAAAAATAAAATCACTTGAAAAATGGCTAAATAAATTTTCATGTGAGCAAATAGCTTATATCAGATTTGACAAAACTTGTACTCTAAAGAATCTATGTGAAAATAAGCCCTTTGAATAAGAAATTTAATTGTTAAAGATAAAGCATGTAAGATTCAAGTAATATACTTTGCACTTGCAGGCGGAATTCTCAAAAATACCGTTTTAGTGTAAACTAAACATAGCTATCAGTCAGTCAGTCAGTGAATTAATCAGTCAGTCAGTCAATCAATCAGTCACCAGACAGTCAGTCAGTTAGCAAGCAGTCAGTCAGTCAATCAATCAGTCAGTCAATCACTCAGTCAACCAATCAGTCTATCAGTTAGTCAGTCTATCAGTCTCTCAATCAGTCTGTCAATCAGTCTTTCAGTCATTAAGTCAATCAATCAGTCAGTCACTCAATCAGTCGGTCAGTCAGTCATCAGTCAATCAATCAATGAATTAGTAAATCAGTCAGTCAGTCATTCATCGGTTAATCCGTCAGTCAGTCGATCAGTCATTCAGTCAATCAGTCAGCTAGTCAGTCAGTCAGTCGTAGTGAGTCAATTAGTCAGTCAGTGAATCAGTCAGTCCATCAGTGAATAGGTGAATCCGTCAGCTAGTCAGTACATCAGTCAGTCACTCAATCAGTGATACAGTCAATCAGTCAGTCAGTCAGTCATCAGTCAATCAATCAATGAATCAGTAAATCAAACAGTCAGTAAACTTGTCAATCAGTCCATCAGTCTGTCAATCAGTTGGTAGCCTTAATTGTCTTGCGATCTATTTCGGCTAGGTGAAAACTTCGATTAACACATCCAATTAATGTTTCTTATAGTCATGATTATTGCTTCTGCCGTTTGTTGGTGCCTAAAATTATGCGCCAAGACTTGAAACTTAATTTATGTGTCGAAAATTGTCTATTTCTTTTCCTTAACTTTTTTCTTTATTTAATTTTAATTCCAAAAAAAAAAGAAGTAATCTCTCAAGTGGTTGTTGTTGCTTTTGTTGATATTGTTGCTTTCCCCCAGCTGCCCCTTGGCCGGAGGCGCTAAATGCAGGAAAACAAAAAAATTGTAACGGAAGAAGCAACGCAATGCCGTAGACATAAGAAATTTGTATACGAAATCTATAAATTTTGTCTTAATTTTTTGTGTGCTGGGGGTTTTTTTTTTTCTTTTATAGCGCGTGAGTTTTGATTTACGCGCCATTGGACATTTTATTTGGATCGGAGTGTTTGGTTTCCCAGAGCACATATTTATTTTTATTTTTATTGCTTTTTAATGCGCCGCCGAGGAAGTTTTATTTCTGTGGGCAACTGCAATTCCCCCAACCGCTCTCGAGCTTAGGCTGTGCGTGTGCATTGTTGAACAATGAATTTTCTTGGGATTATCTATGTGTATATATATGGTATGTAAATATATATACTTGTGTTTAAGAGACGATGGGGAGGGGGTTGCTGGGGACGGCAACAATAGCGCTGTGGTGGCGCTTTATTGTACTCTCTCATAGAGGGTATCTTCATTTTGTCAACAAAATGTGCAACACATTGATGAAGCCAGCTGCAATCATACAGAGTATAATATATATATATACATATATATCTGTATCGACAGTGCCTCTCTGTCACGTCTGTTGATATGCAAAGACTATCTACGTGAAATGTGCTATAGATCCTTTTTATAACCTTCCAGATGGTATTATTATTTTGTCTCGAAATGTGTAATGCACAGAAGGAAACATCTTCGACCTCTTAAAGTATAAATATTCTTGAACAGTATCAACAGTCGACTTGATAAAGCCATGTCCGTCCGTCCTTCCTTCCGTCTGTTTGAATGCGAACTTGTCTCTAAGTTTTAAAGCAATTGTCATGAAACTTTGCAGGAGTCCCTCTTGCTATTGAACGCAGTGCGAATGGATCGGACCACTATATCATATAGCTGCCATAGGAACGATCGGTCGAAAATTAATTTGTTGTATGAAAAACTTGTTTGTCTATCAAGATATTTTGAGCATACTCGGCATTATGAAAAGGGCATTAAATCTTCGGATAGTTTTTGCTGCAGGTAGCTCTTCTCTCATATCTGTAAGCCATGTGTCTGCAAGTGTATTTAATCGTCGGCTCGCTGCAGCTAGCCCATTCTTCTTGTTTTAAATTCAAATGCGGCACCTTATATCATATTTACTTGCCTTTATATTGTTCGTATATGCCATTTAAAATAGATGTGTATGTATTTCTTTATATATAAAATAATCATCAAATATTCCACTCTTGTCTTTTGCACCCCACGCAGAATACGCAGCAGCAGCTGGAGGAGGAGAAGGAGAAGGAGCAGCAAATGCAGCAGGCTGCCGCAGTCAGGACGAGGACGAGCACGAGCACGAGCAGGAGCAGAAGCAGGACTATGGCCACGTCCAAGGCGAGAGCCAGAGCCACCTCGTTAATCTATTTACCGCCTTTCTGCCAGCCATGTGGACATGTGCCTGCGGCCAGCAGCAGCTGCTGTTGTTGTTGCTGTAGTCGGCGACATAAAAATTATGATAAACATGCCGCAGCGCCGACGCTGACAGCAGCGGGCACAGACTCAGGCACAGCCACAGCCACATGCTCGCCAGCGACTGGCTGGAAATTCCTGCAGCGTGATATTCAGTTAAGCGCGGATGAAGACGCACTGGCGCATAGCTGCAACGATCTCAGACAGGCAACGCAATTAGTTATGCCAATTGTTGTAGGTGGCAGCAGTCGCGGCCACGTCTTGGAATGCCTGGCGATTGTGCGGCGCCAGCGACGTGAACGACACACAATAAAACCAATCAGCAATGCAGCAGGAGAAGCAGAAGGAGAAGCTGCAGGAGAAGCAGCAACAAATAGTTCGCAAACAACGACAAGGGCTTTGGCCACAAGTGGCCAGGACGAGAAGGAGGAGGAGGAGAAGGGGGAGAAGGAGGAGCATGGTCTTGGAGATGAAGATGAATGTAGGTGCTTTAACTACAACGGTGATATTAGTGCGCTGGAACGTCTAAAGCAGCAGGAGGAGCAGGAGCAGGAGCAGGTGGAGGAGTGGTATCAACTTCCTAACATTACGTGGCTAAAATTGTGGCAGCAGCTGCTGCGGCGGCAACTGTGCAACAACAACAGAGGCAGCCAAGACGCCAGCAACTCCGCCGCCAATGCGACAACGCAAACAACGAACACAACAGCAACAATATTAGACAGGAGCAGGAGCAGCAGCAGGAGCTGGGGCAGGTTCGGGCAGCTGGAGCCAATCACCAGGCTGGCAACGTGCTGCGGCAGCAACAGCATGACGTCGACAAAAAGTTGGCTCGGAGCGCTGTTGCTGACGCTGCTGCTGGCCACGTCCGTTAGCGGCTGGGGCGGTCGTCAAGATGGTGAGTAGCAAGCACAGATGGAGAGTGCCTCACTCAGTGATACCCTGTAAAAACATTTTCTTTAATTGACAACGGAGGAAAGGCTGCGCTGATTGACACTTAATATGAGCACATAATTGTAGTCAAGAGCAGAGAAGCAGAAGCAGCAGACGACTTTAATACATGAGTCTTAAGTATTCCTAATTAAGTCGATATCATTATAGATATCATTATAGAAATCTGTTTGACAAGAGCTCAGCAAACGGGAAATATGTAGAAACAGAGAGAAGTACAGGGAAGTTATTAGAGAAAAGTTCGATATTAAACCTTTGTAAAGCAGCTCAGGTTAAGCCAGACGAGTTTAATAAATGAGTTAAGTTTTATTTATATTTATAACTAACTTCTGTTGAACGAATGAAATTAAGGAGCTTGAAGTCTGCTTAACAAAGAGCAAGAGCTCAGCAAATGGGATATAGGAATAATCAGAGTAACCTACAGGTCAATCTTGGTGTTATCTCTAATCCTTCGATAGATCAGTGAAATATCTACAGGGCAATCTTTATGATTATGATATATTATATTGGGTAATCTTTATGTCTCCAGCTCTCAAATTCAAAGTCTTTGGCTTTCAAGCTACAAAAATATGCCCTACACTATATTTTTACAGGGTACATCAAGTGGACTAGGAGTCTAGATGAAGAGTCGCTGAGAATGCGCGTAACGCATGCCGTTAAGTAGCGCTATGATAAGAATTTATAATTTGACTTGCGCCAAGATGGAGACCAACCCCCTCCCTTCTCCCCCCACCCCCTCGCCCTTCTCATCCCCTTGCAAGTGGCCATGCCCCCGTCCCGCTTTAACGACAACAAACATTTCATTTAATTTTGAGCATAATTTTTAGTGGGCTATGAAGAGCGTCAGCTGCTGTCTGTCTGACGCCCAACCCCTACCCCTACCCCGACGCCGACGCCTCCGCCATTGCCTTCGCTTCCATCTGCGCCCCTCTCCCTGGTCATGCTCAATTGAATCCATAAGTAGTTTGTGACCACAGATCTGCGTGCTCGTAAAATGCGTTTCAACTGTTTATCCATGAGCGAATTTTGCCCCGAAAACCAACCAAAACGCAAGTAAAAGTGTTTTAGTTGCGGCTGACCGACTTGCAGATACCCTGTAATTTTTTTTTTTTTTTTTGTTTGGCAGTGTTTTGGAATATTTTCAGCAATAGCTATTAATATTTAAATGGAACACATGCTCTAACATGCCCTTCAGCGGTTTTGTAGATCTTTAGGGATTTTAGATATCGCATCTCCAGCTCCTACAATCTTAAAGATATGTCAAGCAAACTAGGCTAAAATTTGATATTAACTGATTTTTGGAAAAACGATCAGCATTAACTATAGCATAACCTTTTGCTTCCATTTTCAATGGGCACAGGGTATTAAAGAAACAATAAGAAAACAACAGCAAATGGCAAATTGTACAGAAATTGCCCGAAACAAACAGTCAGCAACTGCCGTCTGTCCGTCCGTTCGTTCGTCCGACCACCGACCGCTGACCATAATTCACTCAAGTTAGACAAAAGCATTTTCGGGGTGCCCCGCCCACCCCTCCACGCCACCCTCTGCCCGGCTCGCTAACCAAACCGAAACGAAAGTCCAAATTCCAAATGCAAACGCAAATGAGTCTAAAACGAAGCGTCATGCTCTTTGAGCTACACTTGAGTGTGCGTGTGTATGCTTGTGTGTGTGCTGTGTGCTGTGTGTGTGCTGTGTGTGTGCTGTGTGTGTGCTGTGTGTGTGCTGTGTGTGTGCTGTGTGTGCTGTGTGTGTGTGCTGTGTGTGCTGCGTAGTCATTGTCCCGTCAATAAGGGTGGTCCAGCATTGCGCCCTGATAGAACACACTCTCCAGCAAGCACTTAATGTGTCCACACCCACCACAAGGTGCAGGCTGTTACTCGGGGGGTGGGAGGAGGGTGTAGGGGAGGGGCGTTTTAATTGGGTTAAGGAGCTGTTAGCGCGTTAAAGCTGTCATTAAACAACCAGATCTAGATACAGTCGTTGAGATAAGTGCACACATGCTTGACAACCGGTTGAAGGTCTCCTTCAAAAGTGCCCGTCATAATGATGTGAGAACTAAAAGTTATGAGTTCCATAAAAGTAGTTTTTCCTTTTTGCATTTCGGTGAGCTAATAATTCAAACTGTATGACAAGTCTCTAATAACCTGATTCCACTGTGCTCAACATTTCTTATATTTACAAACTTAACAATCTGGGATTCCATTAAAAAGTGTCAGTTGTGTTCCATAACATCGATACGAAATTCAAATCATCGCAAAAAATACGAATAACTCGGGCGAGTACCAACATCTTTTGCAAATGTGAAAAATGTGGTTTCTTATGGGAAAACGTACAGACAACATACTTCACATTCGCAATATCTACCCAAAACGGTTCTCTCCGGCTAACTCCTATTTGATAGTTTCATGCTGCAACCTTTCTCCTACTTTTTGTTTTTTTTTTTTTAAATTAAACTCGTAAAAAGCGCGCAATGTGCCAAATATAGTCTGATAAGGGTTTTCGGCTGCGATACGATACGATGTTAATGCCAGCGATTACTGTCAGTTGATAAGAACAAAATGCCAAACGCAACTCTTTCGAGTTGCTTAAATATTTCCCTTTCGCTGTCCGTGCTTCCCCCTTTTTTTCCATGCAACCCAATCCACTCGGCCTGGCGTTCTTGAGCCACACTAATCCACATGAAACATGCCAGAAAAACGTACATTTTTGTTTCTGCTATGTGTGGTAGAGTGTATGTGTGTGAGAGTGTGTACTTGTGTGTGTGTGTGTGTGTGTGTGTAAAGCCCGTCATTTCGAACTGTCCATACGTATTTGCACGCTTGTCTGTCTATCCGTCCGTCCGTCCGTCTGTCCTTGCGTCCGTTGCGTTTATTTTTGGCGTATTTGATTTTAGCGTGTAGTTTTGTTGGATTTATCCTGCAGCTAAAATTCGGGGGTAGCTGTTGCTGCTTGTTGGGCCACTCAGCCGGAGAGTATTGAATCATGTTGGGGCATTATGCACGGCACTTGAAATTGGCGAAACAATTACAATCCGTCGCGCGCTTTGGGGCTGCCCTGCAAAGTATGCTACACTTTATACACGCCCACTGTGCGTCGCGGGGTAAAGTGATCCGGGTAGGGGGGAGTGGGTGGGGTGTGGGAAGGGGGGGGGGAGGGTGGCGCACATTATGACAGCTACCGCAACAACAGCATCGGTAGCTGAACAAATGTACAAGTCATTGGACAATGGAACAGTAGGGGGGGGCTGTGGGGTGGGCTCAATGGGGCTCAGAGTTCACAGCGATTCGCTGATCCTGCGCAGGAGCACCTTTTGTTTGCCACAAATGTCGAAAACAACAAAATGAAAATGAGAAGCAAAAAAAAAAAAATAGAAAGAACAAAAGCAGAAAAAAAAGTAAAGCAAACTGAAATAAAATAAAATACAGTAAAGTAAAGTAAAATAAAAGAATGGAAAGGAAAGGAGAGTAAAGGAATAATAAAATAAAATGTGTATAGCTGCGCTGTGTGTGTGTGCTTGAGTGTGTTTAAGTGTGTGTGTGTATGTGTGTTCGTGTTTGTGTGTGTGTGTGTGCTTGTTTGTGTGCGTCAATTCGTGCGCACATTCGTCTCTGCTTCTGCTGACTGCGACTTTTGTACATTTGAATGCGTAGAACGCTCGGCTTCGGCTTTTTTGGGCACAGCCCGTACCGACCCTGCCCACCCTTAAGCCAACAGGCATAAAGCAGGGTGGTTTTACCATTTTCTAGTCGTGCGTGTATGTGTGTGTATATATGTATATGTATTGCATTGGTTATACTTATTGTTTTCGCTCAGTCCCTTTTAGCTGCCGTTGTGCGTGCGTGTGTGCGGCATGCCTTTAGCTAACGGTTCGTTTTCTTTGCCTTATACTCTATGCTTTATGCTATATACTCTTATACTCTTTTTTTTTTAATATTCACAATTGCCATTTCGGTAGTTTTGTGAGTGTGTGTGTGTGTGTGTGTGTATGTGTGCGACATTATTATTATTACGAGCCGTTTTCTGGTTTTGCTGCTTGTTCAACTTATTTATGCGACCCTGCGCCAGCGGAGGGTCGTAAATTTTTGGTCTCTTAGACACACACAAACTCACACACACACACACACACACACACTTGGGCACTTACAAGCTGACACTTATGCGCACGCACTTAAATACAATCATAATAATAATAATTGAAACAATTTATAAATTAAAAAGCCACAAATCTTGGCATAAAAATTGACAATACAATTCGAAAAGCAAACGAAGAAAGTGAACAATGGTTAGGTACAATAATGTACATTGTGCATATACCCTGTACACAACGTGACGAGTGGGTATATGCGAGAGACTACAAACTTTGGTTATGAATACTCGTGTATGCTCGAGTCAAATTGAGTGTAGAACTCTTTGAGACACGCCCACATCGATGCTAGGAAATCCCGGAAATATTGGTATTAGCAGTATCTAGGAAATACCAGAAATATTGGTATTGGTATCTCCCAAAGTTAAAGAGCTAAAATCTGTTAATTTTAAATAGAACTATTCTGTTCCTTCCACTTCAATAATCCCAAAAACATTTATATACTCAGAGAAACACGATGTTTTTAATTCTACTACAATTTAGAGTCTATATATTTCTTGAATATTCTCAAATTAACTTTGAAATATTCTTGAATTCATTTGGGCTCTCGATTTAAAAGGTTCTTTTCCAACACTGTTCTTAGCTCTTTATATGACACTGTAACTGGCGTATGTCGCATTCGGTCTTGTTATTAATAAAATACTTGGGCTCTCGGTTTAAGAGGCTCTTTTCCAACACTGTTTTAGCTCCTTTTAGAACACTAAAAGCGTATTTCGCATTCGGTTTCGTTCGACTGGAACTGTCTGACTTGATTATTATTGAAACATTTGGTATCTCCACTTAAAAGGCTCTTTTCGAACACTGTTTTAAGCTCCTTATAGAACACTGTTAGCGTATTTCGCATTCGGTTTCGTTCGACCATAATTCTCGGACTTGATTATTATTGAAACATTTTGGGGAGCTGCTCTTTTATGCTGCATCTTCCTCTTCTTGTTGCTGGTGTCGTTAAATGAACAATGAACCACAATTGAGGTCACATGCTGCTACTCACACCCAACACAAGCACACACACACACACGCACACACATTCACACACTCTCAATTGTTGTTTAATTCAAATATAGCTCACTTATTTGGCTATTAAAATGTATATTAATAATTTATTTGCCCGCCCGGTTTGGCCCATTTGCCTTTTAGTTTATTAATAAATTGTACATTTTTTCGCCTTGCAGCGCCCACAAATTGCACGTTTCCGGCACGCTGGGAGGGCTCCTGGTTCCTATCGGGCTATCAGCAATCCATACACATCAAGGGCTCACAGTTCAGCTACCGCGGCAGGTGTGCGGCCATAGATGGTAACAAATATCTAATAGTCGATGAGTAAGTACCAATCAATACAGTCTCTGATAAAAATATGCTAACAACTTCACTCGAAATACGCGTCTCAACATTGGCTGGCAAATAGATTGAAGAAAAGAAAATAAACAAAAGAAAAGTCAAGCAACATGATGATGATGTTCAAGAAGAAGTTAAACAAGATATTAAAGAAGATGATAATAGAAGATGAAGTAGAAGATAAAGCAGAACAGGCGTCAAAAGTTCTTGTACTTGTACTTCCCTCTTTTTTGTGTTTCCTGTTTGTAGGTTATGTTATGTTACGTTCTTTTTTTGAACCATTTGACTTTTGAGTGTGCGCCAAGTGGCTATAATTGAATAAAGTTTCGTTTTGTCGGCTGTTGAACGGCAGACTAAGGTAAGACCCAAGCCCAGGCAGCAGCAGTAGCATTACACTCAGAGAAACCACAATAAAGTACATATTTAAATTTACAAAATTTGAAAAATCATCTTAGTTTTTCAGAATACACAACTGAATTTCCGGAAATTCTTTAATAGAGAAAGTTTAAAGATATTTTCAAGCATGTGAATTCTTGTAATAAGTATTTGCTGCTTAATTTAATACTTTTCTTATTGATGCAACACAAATATTTAATGAAGTCGAGAAAATTTCACAAACAATTAAACTTTATGTACTTCTTTTCATAAGCTTTCAGACTTATTTCAAGTATAAAAGAACTTGTTTCAAGTATTTTGAGCATGGGACTTAGTTCAAGTTTTAAATTGCTCGTTTCAAGTATTTTGAGCCTAAACCAAGCTTTAATTCTTATTCAAATTTCTAAAATCAAGCATGAAAGTTCTTGTAATAAGCATTTGCTGCTTAATTGAAGACTTTTCCTATTAATGAAATGAAGAAAGGCGCACACTTAATTTTACTTCGCTTTTTACACTTATTTCAAGTATAAAATAACTTGTTTCAAGTATGTTTAGCATAAAGCAAGCTTATCTTGGTAATTATTTGCTTTAAAAACAATAGAATGAAAGTAATATGTTTGAATTTTAAAGAACGAATTCCTAGTCACTTGTAGCACAATCAACTGCATCCCCTTTTCTCTGAGTGTAACATCAGCAGTAACCCCATTAAGTAACAACTGGGCGACAGTTGCTCTCACACAGAAGCATTTGACATCGAGACACGGAGACATAGTCAGATGCTAGGCTAAAAAAACCTGTCGTGTCGACGCTCTTGTCAGACATATCTGCTCCCAAACTTTGTCTACGAAACGAGTTTGTCCCTACTTCCCCTCGACCCCCCTCCCCTACGGCCGCTGTCGCTGTGTGAGAGTTAATTTCAATGTTCGACAAACAGGCCCAGCCAAGTACCGAAACTCTGAAGCTAGCCAATTTACCCAAACATATATAAATATATATATATATAAACATCTGTTTTTTTTGTGTACTTGTAAATGCTGTAAAGTTAAACTAAATTTGAAAACTATTTTTATAGGTTCAAACTCAACTCTGCTCTGCATCTAGTTTTTTTTTTCTTTTTTTGTTGTAGTACTAAACTTAAGAACCTTGCTTTTTGTACCATAATTCAAAAACCTTTCTTTCTGTTTTGAATGTTTTTTATAAAAGAGAAAAAAAAAAACTAAAAAAGGCTATAATTATGGGCTGCTATATACTCATGATTTTTGGTTTTTGTGTTTTGCCATGTTTCCAATTAAATATACTATTTTTACATAAATATATTTCTAAGAAATCTAACTAAGCAACAAAGTCTTGCATATTTTTGGTTGTAGCTGAAATGTGTCTACATTTTTGGTTAAACTCAACTCTAAAGCTTTTTGCCAAAAAAACAAAAGACAAATCCAAAAAGATGTTAACCAATTGACATCTGTTTGTCTTTTTGTAAATTCTTTAAAACGAACATTTTTACTCAATTTTTTTTTTGTAAGTATTCTTGTCGTGTGCTCTTCAATTATTTTTTCAACTCATTAATATTTATCGTAATATATTGAAAAAAACAAAAAAATAACCAAATACAGTTTAAGTATCGTACTACATATGATCGTATGTGCCATTTACCAACTAGGAAACTAACAAAAGCCCCCACATTTTGCCTAACCTCTGAAAAAGAATAAAAAAAAAAAAAAAAAAACAAGCAAAAACATCTATATTTTGATTTTGAAAAATGTGTTCAATTACAATTTTTACCATCACTTTTCAACAACATATATTTTGGTTAAACTATTCAGTTATTAAGTGTACGTCCTTTCAGTTCGTTTTGTATAATCATTTTTCGTTTTCAACAATATAACGAAAATATCTAGCTTCCAATTGACAACTAGCCCACAACAAACTGGGTTGGCTTTTTGACAAAAAAAAAACACTAAATATAATCAAACAGCATCCATTTTTGGTACACAAACATACATAGAAGACTGTGCTACATGTAGAGCAGCTAAACTATCGATTGGACTATCGATAAAACGGTCAAATGTCCTTCTCTACACTCCTGATTGGAGAGATGCCTAGAAAGCAGAGACATGAACCTGCCAGATATCTGATATATCATATAAATCCTTTTTGATGTGGATTAAATAAAGTGTATTCCTACTTTTTTGACTTAAAAGCCGCGATTATATCGATACATATCGAAACTATTAACAATCGATAGTTTAACAGCTCTACATGTAAATTCAGTTTGTTTTGGGGAATCGATAAAGAAAACTCAATTTCTGCGATAAATCATTGGGTTTTTGAATGCAGCCGGATGTTTCCTGCTGCGTTTTGCACCAAAAACATTTCATTCATATAATTATAAAAATAACGAACCAACAAAATTAAAGTTAAGAAGCCTTGATTTAAGTATACTAAACGCATTTGGTTTTTACATTCAAGTGTCTACTGCGAAAACTTTTGCCAACACCATACTTTACAGTCCAACACCATAAAAAAAAAAAAAAAAACAACAGTCCAGATAACAGATAAAAGAGAAACAAAAACAAAAACAAAACACAAACAACAAACTTATATATAACATATATAAACAACTACAAATCCTAAGAATACAAACACAATACAACAACTTCTCGTTGCAATCAAAAACTTTTTTTAGGAAAGGATGTCATCGTTGCCTGGTTATCTATGAGAAGCATAAGAATGTGCTCCAGTATAAAGAAAGTGAGTGCGAAGGTGATAGTATGTATATGCATCAGTCGAATCCATCTGCAATGGCGATGCGTAGCTCTAATAAACAAAGTGATCATAGGGGGGGAGCTCATCCCAATACGAACGGGCATTCAAGACTATCATCATCGGATCAGTACATAATGAGATCCAATGACGATATGAATGATTGTAAGCATTAACTTTATACTTTTTTATTATTCTAAACTTAAGAAAAGAAAACCAAATACAAAAAAAAAATACAAACTCTATTCTCTTAACTCGCTATCTCAAAATACCAGTTATATATTTTTTTCCCACCTCTTAACATTTCGATTCTCCATCCAACATAACTAACATATTATTATAATTTAATCGCATATTAACTCTTGAACTCTTTTACTTTTACTCTTAATTTTGATCCCATTTTGGTGACAAAACAAAAATATACAAAAGTTTTTTTTTTTGCATTCGAAAGGCTGACAAAAACAAGAAGAAGAAAAAAGAACACATAAACTTGAAGGATTCTCTACCTTTTTTTTATTTTTTCATTTTTTAGTATTTTGTCAAGTAAAGTTGAGTTTTTTACGTTGTTTATTTATAATTTATTCAATAATTTTGTTAAATTTCTTCAATTAATTCTTTAACTAAAGCAACTTTTTAAGTTATTTTGAAAAATAAATAAAAATTTATGAAACCAAACCAAACCAAACTTGTAAATAGTCTCAACAACAACAAAAAAATACTCTGCATACCAAATGATATATATACATTATATATAAATACCAAAAAAAAAAAAAAAAAAAAAAAAAAAAAAAAAAAAAAAAATTCTCCACGTTTATGGCAAGGGTCCTCTCTCTCTCTATCTGTCTCTCTAAACTCACTTAAAGCAACAATAACAAAAAAAATATATAAAAAACCAAAATCGAATTGTATATTTTTCTCAACATACACACGTTGCAATATTTATCCAAACGATACAATTAACAATTTTAACAAACAGCTATCCAATATCAACAACTATTTAATCGTTAGTGTCAATCCAATTAAGCTAGCTTAGTTGCGATTCTCGAACGTATTAGCGATTAGCAGATTAACCCGTCCCAACAGAACCTAATAAAGCAAAAGAAAAGAACAAAAAAAAAAAAAAAAAAACGAAAAACTAATGAAATGAAAATCAAACACGTCAGGCTTAAAGTCAAAATCCGAAAAAAAAACCGCCCGCAATGAATTTTAAGAAAACTATAAAGAAATTTTAGTTTAACAAAAGAATCTTAAGTTTTTGCTTATCATTTTTGGCTTGGTTCTTGTTTTCATTTCTTTCAGTTCGACTTTAACTGTAAATAATTATATTAAAAACAACAACAAGAACTAATTAAAACAAAAATCGTGTAAATATATATAAAAACCATTTTCTTAAGCAATTGAATTGTTTGTTCCGAATATATTTTTGTTAACAAAACATTTACATATACATATATCTATATATATATTTGCAAACTCTATTCAATATTTATATGATATGTATATTTTGTTACTTTAATTCAATATTTTTCAACAACTCCCCAACTAAAACAACAGCAATAACTAAACAGCAACAACAACAACAACAACCACATACACCCAAACAAATCGCATTCGTGTCAGTTTTCAGATATGTACAAAATATACAGGGTATTCACAGTTTCCAGCAAAGCTGCACTTTGATACAATGCGAACGGCCCTTTGTAGAGTTTCATATTTGTTTACATTTTGCAAATTGTAGAGATTTGGTATTTTTCGTAACAGTGCTAAGCAACAGGACCAGGACAGGGATGCATTTGCCAACACTGACTGCGAGTCTACAGCAGCTAGACTAGGGCCTGGCTTGTGTAGGTGTAGACTGGAGAGTGGAGAGTTTAGCTAGTCCAAGTCTACTTTATACAGCTTTGCAGGCAACTAACTGTGAATACTCCAACTACAATTAACACTTTGTTCTCTTTTCTGTTTTCTGTTGTGTGTGTGCGTGTGCGTGTGTGTGTGTGTGTGTGTGTTTGTATTTTGGTGTGCTTTGTACAGTTATATGCGCAAATCAAATAAAACGGAAACTAATATTAACAAACAAAAAAAAAATAAAAGAAAGTTTTCTGATTTGATTGGATTTTTGAAATTTGCATTTGAAAATTGTTTTTAGTAACATGCATATATATATTTTAAAGGCCGTCACATGCAGAAATTGTTGTAAAATTGACGCGTTACAATTTGTCTAGTTATTGTACATAAACGCACCTTCTAACGTAATGCTATCAAATAACTCATATATATATATACATTTTGTATCTACTCGTGCATAGAGCTTTATACGTAAACCCCCCGCCCCGCCCCTCAAAAAAACAGGCTAACTCTTATATTGTTGTTGGGCCGCGTCGCTTCGACTCATTTGTAAATAAAACTCATCTAAATTCATACAAATACGTATATGCGAAGCACCTCCCGATTTCCATAGACATTTTTATAGTATATATACAGCCACAGAGGCACCTTTTGTAACATTTATTATGCTGTCGGTTTTCACCTGCAATTTCGAGCTAACTATTATCAATCCACACACACACACACACACTCACACATACACACACACAGCTCTCTTTCACTGTAAATTTCATTCGCTCATCTCACAAAAAAAAAAAATAAAAGAAGACATTTCTGAAAGTATGAGTATATAAATATGTATTTTATTTATTGCATACGGCATATACAAAAAATTGGATATGATGAAAAACCATTTAAAGCTCCGCTTTTAAAAGCAGTTTCCTTCTTTTTTTTTTTAAGTTCACCAATTATTTGCACGTTCAGCGAGTTTTCCGTTTTTCCGTTTTCCGACTTACACATTTCGTTTGTTTCTTTATTTTCCATGAGTTATTTATGGGTCTTCACGCAATGCTCCGAATATTGTTACCAGAAACGAAACCAGACCCAGAACCAGATCTTCTTTATATGTGCAAAGTCCATATATATATATACACGTAACTGTAGCTTAAATATTAAAATGGAAAAACCCGAAATAGACAAAAAAAAAAACCTTTCTACGATCATTAAACACTTGACGTGTACATTCGCTCTTATTTATGATACCCTGTACTCATTTAAATGTTTTAAAAGGGTAGCTTCTGTGCCTAAAAAGTACTCGAAAATAATATACAAACTCGGTTTATATTTATTTTCATAATTTTAACTAACTATTCTAGAAGTTTTAGGTTGATCTTTACTCAAAATTTAGTGGTTCGGTTCACAGTTAGAACCAGTTCTTTGCACTTGTTTCGTGCAAATTGTTTTTCACTTCAATGAAGACAGGCTTTTCGATTCGGTTCACAATTCGAACCAGTTCTTTGCCCCTGGTTCTTAAAGTTGTTTTTCCACATAAATGAAGACAGGTTTTTCGGTTCGGTTCACAGCTTGAACCAGTTCTTGGCTTTCGATTCATTTGCCTGGGTTTTCACATCAATGAAGACAGGTTTTTCGGTTCGGTTCACAGTTTGAACTAGTTCCTCAGTTGAGGTTTATTTACCTGATTCTTAAAATCAATGAAGACATTCTTTCCGCTTCGATTCACAGTTCTTTGCCCCTGGCTTATATACCTCATTTTCCAAATCAATGAAAACAGGTTCACAGCTTGAACCAGTTTCTCAATTGTGGTTCATTTATCTGATTTTCCACATGAATGAAAACCTGGGTTGCTTAATTTTTGTGCGACCTTGATTGCAGCTGGTTTATAGGGTATCTCCCTAGTCGAGCCCTGGCCAGTTGTGCTCCTCATGTTGGTATCTATTCAAAATTTGTGTATGTGTGTGTGTGTGTGTGTGTGTGTGTGTGTGCATGTGAATGGCTATCCAATCCTTTTGAGTGCAGTCTGGAGTGCTGCAAAAATAGTGCATAAGTATGCAGCTGTGCCCCCCCTGCTAGCTCCTTTTCCCCCTTGGCCCATCAGCTATGAGTTAAGTTTACGCATTTTGATATCTTTCAGTGGTTAATTGCTGTAATCCGCTTACTAGCAAAAGTCAAGAGCCCGTCGCCCGTCGCCCGGCACCCACTTGACGCTCGGATGCAATTATGGCCAACTAATTGTAAGGCTAAGTCCGTAATGCAGGAGCAAGGAGTCAGCTCCTTGGCTACGGCGGGCACGCATAGAAATGTAAATTCATTATTTATTATTTGTTTGCCTCAATAGAAATCAAATTAGTTTAAGTGGCGCCCCACAAGCAGCTCGAGACCCGGACCCGGTGTCAGACCCAGCTCCGGCTACGACTACGACTAGGCCCCAAGCTCTTGTGAATCGATTTGAAAGCGCCAACTCACGCCCACAGCACCCACCCCCACCCCTTCCCTTCGCCTCCTTCGGGGCCTTGCTCCAATTTAATGTAACCAACTAGGACTGACTGCCTGACTGGCTGACTGACACGTCTGTCAGTCTGTCTTCTGTCTCGCTCTCTGCTTGCTTTTTTGATTTGATTTTGTTTAAATATTAAACGAGACTTTTAGAGCTCATATTTAATGCAAAGCACGGGCAGGGGAGGGGAGGGGGGTTCGGTTGTTTATTTTGATTAGCAGTCCGTAAAACAATGGCATTATTAGGTTTATGTCATTATTTGTTCCGACTGTCACACAAGCACACACTTTTGCCAGAGGGCATTTTGATTAAAAGAGCAGCTTACAAAGTATTCAAAACTGATTGCAAATCTCTCTCTCTCTCTCTCTCTCTCTCTCTCTCTCTCGACTTAAATCGCTTGAAATTGCATTTTCTGTACATGATATGCGTAATAATTGAATTTGTTTAAGCCAAATTTTCATAGCTGGCCAAGACAAAGGTTAATTGAAACCGGACAACAGGCAACTGTTTCAATTACCAACAACAACTTGTACAGAATTAACAGCTAATGCCAAACAATTATTTTACGAGCCATCTTTATATATATTTATATATGCGTATACATTTAAATACGTAGCTCCGTGTCCTGCCCCTCCATTGAAATTGGACACCCTTTTGCACACATTTATCCCAACGCCTTTTTGTTCAGCTATTTTCTAATGAAACACAGTTTCGGGTATCAAAGGCTGTTGTGAATGTGCTTGACATAAAATTCAAAACGGAATGCATGGGCTTGGCATTAATGAAAGCGAATATACATTAAAATGGTAATCGCAGTTAAATAACA